ACCTATATGGATAAATGACACTTGAATAAAGAAGTCAAGCTACACAAATATGCTACACATCATGCCTTGATGGCTATGGTGAGTCACAGCATACTGAAAAATAAAACATATCAAATGTATGTTTTGGTGGACATGTTCTGATTAAGCCTGTACCATCAAAATGTCTTATTTAAGGGGAACATATAAATGATAAAACATTCAATGGCCCTGAAGTAAGAACAAGATGTCTGATAAAGTTTCACATTAGCACCCCCATGTTAAAATGGGCCCAGAGAGAGAAGAGGGGCAGATGTGGGCGGGTTGCTGGTTTCTCAGAGGATTGTAGATAGATAGACCAAATGTGAAAGGTGACAGCCATATGGAAAAGCAGGGTTATGATGGAGATGGGGTATGTAAAATAAGACAAGTATGTCTAAGTAACATTGATTACTGTAAGTCTGTAATAGTCATGGTATATTATATATTATGGTGATGTATCATATTATGTCTTAGTTCATTAGTTATATAGTACATGCTTATATGCTAGGGGTAGATAATGTAATGTATGATATGCATAAATTTATTATGAACTAAATAAATTTATGTACAAGAAGTAGTTTAATTAGAATATCAGCTTTGGGGGGTAAACCTTCTTTCTTGATGTCCTGAGAAGACAACTTCCTCATTTTTGGTTTACAGGACCAGAGAAATTTTTATACTATCAGGACATTAGGTAAATTTTAGAATGCTGTCTTCAATTATACGTGTGATTGGTATAAAAGTAACAATAGCAGTGAAGCAGGTGATTGAAGCTAATTGGCCAATAATAATAAATGGATATTAAATAAATGTTGTCCTCTGATTCAAGTTATAGGAGAGGATTGGCTACTAGAATTCAATATATTGTTTGGGTAAATGGACGGAAGATTATGGCATGGTGTTTTGATATGTGTAGGAGAGGTAAGATGGCTAGGATTAAAATGGAGAGGATTAAGGATAGTACACCTCCTAATTTATTGGGAATAGATTGTAGGATAGTGTAAGCAAATAGGAAATATCTTTCCAGTTTAATGTGGGGGGGCATTAAGTGGATTTGCAGGAGTGTAATTATCTGGGTCTCTGAGAATATCTGGGAAAAACAATACTAAAATTATTAGAGCAATTAAAAGAAGATTCCAAGTAGCTCTTTAATTGTGTGGGTGAAAGGGGATTTTGCCTGCATCTGAATTTAGGCCTGATGGGTTATTAGAGCCTGTTTCGTGAAGAAATAAAAGACGGGGTACAACTAGAGTGGTAATAGATGGCAGAATAACGTGAAATGCGAATTAGCAAGTTAGGGTGGCTATATCTACTGAAAACCCTCCTCAAATTCATCCTGCTGAGGTTGTACCATGTAAGGGATAGCCGACAGGCGACTAGTAATAACTGTGACTCCTCAGAATGATATTTGACCTCATGGAAGTGCATATCCTATAAATGTTGTTACTGTGAATAGAAGGATAATTCTGGTGTTTCAAGTTTCTGCTATAGTATATGAGCCATAGTAAGTTCCTCAACCTACATGGTTGAGCAAATGAAGAATATTGAAGCTCCATTAGTGTATAAGTAAGGCATTAATGAACCATAATTTACATTCGGCAGATATGTGTGATGGATGAAAATGCTGTAGTGGTATCTGATGTATAATGTATGGCTGGGAAAAGGCCTATTAGGATTTGAATTAGTAAACATCAGTCAATTAGGGATCCAAAGTTTCATCAAGATGAAATATTAGATGGGGATGGTAAATCAATGAATGAGTGCTTAATAATTTTTATTAGTGTTTCTTACAAATGTTTGTCATTAATGTTCCTATAGTTGAATTACAATGATTTTTCATGTTGTTAGTCATAGGTATAATCTATGTAAATTATGACAGAATACATTTACATTTTAAGACCTTCACCTATTTATGGGGGTTATGTGTTTATTAGGTGTGTGGGATGTTTAGTGCTGATGGGATTTGGGGGGTTCTTTTTAGGATTAATAGTATTTTTAAGTTATTTAGGGGGGATGGTAGTTGTTTTGGGCTATACAACTGATATTGTCAGCAGAGGAATATCCTGAGACTTGAATGTCAAGTTGGTTTTTGGAATTTTGGTAATAAGTATGTGTATAGAATTAGGAATGGCATTTGTAACTAAGTATTATGAGAGGGATAGAAATGGTATTAGAATTTAATAGTATAAGTGGTTGAGTTATTCATGATGGAGATGAATTAGGTTTAATAGGAGGAGCTAGGGTAGCAACATTGTATAGTTGTTCCGCATGATTGATGGTAGTCTCTGGTTGAACTTGGTTCACAGGAATTATTGAGATTACATGGGGAAATTAGAATTGGAATAGTCATTAATGTAGTTAAAAAGGATAAGAAGTAAAGTCTTTCTGGTTACTAAGGGTTTGGGAAGTTAAGAGATTATGGTAGAAATAATTTTGGGGATGGCTTTTTCATGTGAGGTCAAGGGTGTAATTTAGGGCTGTGCTACTTATTGTCAGAGATTTTGTAGGCATTAGCTGATGGTCAGTTAATGTAAAGTATCCTAATGATGTGGAGAAAGAATTAGTTGATGAGGGTTTAATTTTAGATTACAAGTTAAATTATTTAATCCTAAGGCAACAGTAAATAAAGCCTGCGAGAGTTAGAGGATTGCTGAAGTTTTCAGTTATCATAGTATGGCTATTACTTAGGTAAATGTGACAGGGATATTATGTGAGTTGACAACATCTGCAAAAATAATTCTTAGGGCCAGTCATTTAATTGGATTTGTAAGTTTTAGGTCATTTTCATTTAAAATAATTAGTGGGGGGGGACGAGGTTTAGTTATTAAGGCAAAAATAGACGATTCATAAACTGTAAGCAGCTGTGGGGTGGCTAATAATTAGAAGGGCTCAGGCATTGGTATAGCAGGCATTTGCAGCTTTGATAATTAGGTCTTTTGAGTAAAAGCGGTTTAGAAAGGGTATTCCAGTGAGGGCTAAGCTGCCAATAGTAAGGCATGATGATGTAAGTAGTAGGGAGTTTGACAACTCTTTCAAACATCTTGTTCATCATTTAGGTTGTGAATAATTGACTCAGAACATATGAATAACAGGCTGTAAAGAATGCATGTGTGCCGATAAGGAGGAAGGCTGGGTAGAGTTGGTTAATTCCTAGTGTGACTGTTATTAGTCCTAGTTGATTGGTTATGGAGAAAGCTACAATTTTTTTTTTAATGTCATTTTGGGTAAGGGCACAGATTGCTGTAAATAAGATGATGATTGAACCTAGACAAAATATGATAGTTAGGGCTAGACTGTTGTTGGAGATTAGTGGGTGAAATCAACTTTAGTAGGAAGATTCCTACAACCACTATGGTTCTTGAATGGAATAGGGCTGAAACTGGGGTAGGGCCTTCAGTGGCTGAGGGCAGTCATGGGTGGAGGCCAAATTGTGCTGATGTTCCTGGTGCAGCTATTAGAAGTCCTAGGAGAGGAATAATGCTTTATTGGTTATGAAAATTTGTTAAAATTCTCATGAATTGGTGTTTAGGCATAATCAGGCTATTGTAACAATAAACTCAATGTCACCAATGCAGTTTTATAAAATTTCTTATAAGGCTGCTGTATTAGCATCTGACCGGTCATATCATCAACGAATAGAAGAAACGATATTAATTCCTATTACTCAACTGGTAAATAATTGAAATATATTGTTAGCTGAAGTAAGGGTAATTTTGTGTTAATAGTGACTGTGTCCCTTGGTAATAAGTATGCATAGGGGAATAAGGCTTAGGATAAATGAATATTTAATTGATAAGGTAACAGAGAGGGAAGTTAGGGATTGTGTAGGTGCTAGTTAGAGTTAACATAACTGGGCTGAAGAGATGGCTCAGCCATTAAAGGCTAGGCTCACAACTAAAAATAGTTAATATAACTGGTAGAGTTAACAGAAAAAAGATTAGAACAATTAAGGATGCAATGGTGTTAATTACTTTTATTTAGAGTTGCTCCAAGTTTTTAGTTTCTAAGACCAATGAATTACTACTCCTATAAAAGTAAGAAAGCCCTATTGTTATATATGGAAGCATGCGTTAGCAGCCCTTGTGTACCTTCATGGTAGATAAGGAGTATTATCTCCTGCCTTCAGATTCAGTCTGACGTTTTTTGTAAACTATATCCACGTAGTGTGAGGCCTATAATTAGTTTGGGGTTAATTGTTAGTAGAATTAAGGGTGTGACATGTAATATCTATCGTAAGTGTTAATTCTCATGTGTGAGGGTTGGAGACTGCTTATGTGATATGTAATTTTTCCTCATTGAGTAGTGATTACTATATATGGTGAGTATAAGGCTATAATTGAGATATTGATACCTATAAGAATAATAGAAGTATTTGATCAGGAGAATAATGAGACTGTAATTAGTAGTTCTCTGATCAGATTGAGGGAGGGAGAGCTAGATTTGTAGACTGCCTTGAAATCATAATACAGCTAGTATAGGAAATACTATTTGAAGGGCGCCAGCTATGGTTATAGTTTGTGACTTTGTTCATAATTAGTATTGGCTAGGCAGAATAACGTGATGATGTAGGACCATTTATTAGTGTTGGTGCTCCTATAAAGCTTCATGGGGTTTGAATTACAATAGCTGCAATAACCAGTGCTATATGAATAAGCAATTAATGATTTTAAGTCTGTCATAAGCAGATTGAACTAGTTATTATACCTCATAGTGAGAGTAAAATAAATAAGCTATGGTTTTTGTTACAGGGTCTAGGATAATACTCATATTCCGTAACCACTTAATTTTAGTAAGATAGGAGCTTCTGCATGGGCTCTTTGGAAGTCATGGAGGGGTATTTTAATTAGAAATATTATTTATACATGTTAATCATAAAATGTGGTTAGCTCATAGGGGGTTTAATGATGTTCAACTAACATGTTAAACAAGTAGACATACTCCCAGGACAGGAAAAGACAGACTCAGATTATGAGGATAAGGTAAAGAGATTATCATCTATATAATTTTAATTCTTGTTTCTTAGCAGTTTTCACATTGTAGCCTAAGTCAGCCAGCACTCTCTATGGGACTTGACAAACATAGCTATAATCTATATGCAGCCATGCCGTGACCCCGAATTCACACCTCAATGGCAACTCTCGCAAACCGATACTGCAGCGAGGTGGGAGGTCGCAGCAGCACCAGGCCCCTTGTGGCCGCCGGCTGGCTGGACAGCATTTCCAGCAAGCCGGTCACACTAACAAAGCCCAGGGCTTCTCCACAGCCAACAGCCATAGAAAAGTCTCCCTGTGTAACAAAGCCCAGGAGGAGGCGGGAGCAGTGTGAAGTTAGTCCTGGGAGAGGTCCTGACCACAGCCCCTGTGTCAGAGCTGCCTGCCCAGCCGCGGGCGCCCCCGCCACCGGGCCCCTGGGGACTGAGTGTTCTTGGCTCTGCCGCTTCTCCATTTTCCTCTCTTCTTTCTGTTTCAGAATCAGGCTCTTAAATGGGTCGCTGTGTTTAGATTCCCGGGGTCCATGGTAACACTGATCCTGCCTGAGCTGGAGTAGGTCCTCCTCAGATGGGACACAGATCATGGTGCGAGGCTCGGGGCTGCCCTTCCTGAGCAGGGACAGCCTGACCCACACCAGGGCTCTGGGGAAATCGTCCAGAATGGACGAGCAGGCCTTTCTGGTCAATTCTTGCTGGCCTCTGCAAGGAGCCTGCCTGGCCTCAGAACCCGACCCACACCAAGCAGAGAGCTGTCTCAGTAATTTCCTATTCCTATAGGACATAAGAGACATAGAAAATTACAATTAAAAACCATTTAAAGCATACAATATACATATAACTAACATTCTTCTTTTCACATGCCTGCCTTTCTGAAAAACTGAAGAAAAAAAAAAAAGGTACCAAAAAGGTTTATAGAAAAATGGAATAAACCTCAGGGTTATAATCAAAGCAAGAGGTTGAGAATTTGAGGAGAAAGAAGGGTGTAAAATTCTTAAGATAAATGATGGGAAAGGGGAGCAGTAATCAAAATGGCAGCATGCTCTAGAATGCCAAAAAGGAACCCAGCCCACAGCAGCGTCAAGGATAATGCTCACTGCATACAGAAGCAGCGCAATCACCATGACAACGAATGACTGATGGCCTCTTCCCCCCCCCCCATGCCATCCCCCCAAAAAAACCCCAGGAACTGGAGCAGCTCCCTCAGAAGAGAAGCTTGTCACCAATCAAGATCACTCAGTTTAGGACAGTATCTTCAGTCACTACCCAAATACTGACCTGTTTCCCATTTCAAAGAAATGGCTCTCTTTTAGAAAGTCACCGATAAGCAAACATACAGAAGAATGGTAACTTTCCCATCTCGGAGCACGTTCAATACAGAAGACAATGCAATGTATGTGGCTGCATGCCTACACTTACCGAAGAACGCAGAGCTGGCTACCGGTGGCAGCAATGTGGCTCTCACTGGCACCCGGCCCCAGGACTACTTCAGTCCCTGCCTGTGCCTCACAGCCTGAGACTTCTGGCTTCGTGGGGTGGTTTCCAGATATGCCTGCCTCATTAGACAACTGACAGATCTCTTCAGGGACAAAAGTCACTCCGAGTCGCCTTGGGTCGTCCTGGACACCAGGCATCGGGGCCTGAACCCTGGACTCCCAGTCCTGAGTCAGCTGCTCCCAGGGACAGCAGAAAGGTGCCAGTGTGCCAAGCTTAACATAGTTGGGCCTTTTGGCAGGAGGGCGTCTAATGAGAAACAGAAATCAATTTTAAACAACTGAAGAGAATTAAAACAGCCAGGACCATTATTATACACTTCCAAGCAATAACACACAATCCTGCTCTTGAGCTCCTTCTCCCCCCCCCCCTCCCCTCCCCCTTCGAGTCAGGGTTTCCCTGTATAGCCTTGGCTGTCCTGGTACTCACACTGTAGATGAGGATGGCCTCAAACTCAGATCTGCCTGTCTCTGCTTCCCAAGTGCTCGGATAGAACTCGTGCACCACCACCACCCAGGTCCTATTGTTTTGTTGTCGCTGTGTGTGCGTGCATGTGTGTTTTGGAGACAAGGTCGGTCTATGCAGTCCTGACCTGCCTAGAACTCACTGTTGTACACCAGGCTGGCTCCAAACTCAGATCCACCTGCCTCTGCCTCCCCTGTGCTGAGTTAAAAAGTGTGCACCACCACGCCCAGATCTTTGTTTTTAATAGATAGCACATCTGCGTATGTGTGTGGCCTCTGAAAACCAAATCAGCACTGCAGTGTCTACCCGGAGAGCCCCACATACATGGTGCTCCTGGGGTTAGGCACTGCTACCCCTGGAGATTTACAAGGCTTCTCCCTCAGTTCTGACCTAACAACGCAACTAAACGCGAGTAAAAAAGAGGACTGTGTACACTATGTGTGCAGCAGAACGACACACAGGACACAGATAGGATGCTGTGTTCTTAGAGGGTGGCAGGACACACCAGTTCAGAAGTAAGGGAGAAGTTTCACTGTAACCCACAGGTCCTTGGGAAGAATTGTTGAACTACTAATTCTCTGTTAAATCTGCGGTTCCTCACCTTCCTATCACTGTGGTGACATAAGCATTATAAAATTATCTTCAATACTACTTAACTGTAATTTCACTGCTGTTATGGACACAGCAGTAATTATGTAAATATCTGATATTTGACCCCTGAGGGGGTCTGACCCACAGGTTGAGAATTGATGTGCTATATGGACCTGTAGTCAAACTGCCTCCTAAATATTTGTTTATCCTTACAGACTAGCGCTACTCTCAACCACAATCAGAGGAGCTGCTTTTTGCAGTGGGCGGCAATTAATGCGACATCTAACAACTTGCCAAAGAACAGAGAGTTAGCAACCATTGTGTGCTTGGCCATAAACAGGACATCTACATCATCCCCTGGAGGACAGGGAACAGTGGTGCAGAGAAAGACACAGAACTGAAGGGGTGAGTCCTATGTCACACTGTCTTCTGGACATGGACACACAGGCTACCTACACAAGACCTGCAGAGGTCAAGCTTGTCCAAACTCCAGCAGGGACTCACCAGGGTCTCGAGTCTTCAGTGGTGTAGCCATTGTTAAGTTGCCCATGCTTAAATAAATACCCATATTCATACAAACAAACAAGAAAGGACAGGAAAACAGGACGACTTGGGAAGGAGGAGGTCAGCAGGAATAGGGAGGGGGCTAAGTGAGGACAACGGAGCAGCAAATACAATGTATGAAATTATCAAAAAGATTACACTCTATTCTCTCTTTGAATAGCCAATGTTAAGTCAGGGACAGACTTAAGTCTACCCTGCCTGTGCCTGTGAGAGCCATGGTGTCTAGAGTGGTGTTGGGTCCAATAGGAGGACTGAAATAAATGTGTTAGATGAGTGAGTGAGTCAGACAAATATATGGCTAGATCCACAGGCACCACACATGAGACAGAGTTTCTGTGTTTCTAGAAACCTACAATATAATGGGAACACAGATTCCTAGGGCTCTCATTTGCTCATTTCCAATGAAAGACAGATTTTTTAAAAAGGCTACAAGGATAAATACTAAAATATTAAAAACTGTGCATGTCTGTTGGGATGGCAGAACAGTACCAGATTAAGGTGTCTTAACTACCTCAATGGTTTCACTAAACTCTTATAAATCAGTACTGTTCTAAAATCAGGTTTTTTTGTTTTTGTTTTTAAGCACGGTTTCCACAAGAGTAGAGATGGGGTTACTGGTGAGATCTATTAGCAAGTATCCGAAATTTCAGATGTCCATCATTCAAATCAGAAAGTAACCATGAGAAGTGTTGTACCAGATGGGACTCAAAGGGTCAAAAGAGGAGCTCCTGGCCAAAGCATTATCTTCTTAGCCACCTCTTGGTAAGAGAGCTCAAGAGGAAGCTTGCACAACACACAGGGCTACTGCAGTAATCCCCAAGCCATTAGGCAATTCAAGCAGTCACTTCCCATCCCTGGAAACAGACCAGAAGAGCAGTTCCTTTCTTACCTTTTGTACTTTTCCAGAAGATCCTTAGCTTGCTCTTCAGCAAACTGAACCCCAGCAAGGCAGTCTGGGAAGTCACCTGGGATGTTAGGTGACCTTCTATACTGAGAATGCACCATAGCCTCTTTTAAACCCCCAACTCTTGCACCTTGGTAGACCTGAAAGGAATGTCAAGACTTGAAGCGAGAAACTGTTTAACACACGTTAGGATAATCTTACAACCAAACACCACACAGTTGTATAAATGGAATGTCAACGTGGGGAAAAAACAAAAACCTCAATACCTATGAACAACAGGTTGCAGAAGAGTATATACAGTAAGATATAGAGTTAAAAACGTGTACTTTACAGAGGTTGGTAAAGGCATGAGAGTATGCATGGAGGGGACAGACACTGGTAGGAGGGTCATGAAGCATGGCCAGGGAGTCGGTATGCTTAACTTCCTAGGCGGATGACAGGCAAAAGGTGTGCAGCTCCTGGGTAGGTGAGGACCGTATCTTTTCTATGTGAATGAAATAATACCTAATTGCCTGGAAATGAAGCTGACAGAGTGCTTCCTAGCCTGCCTAAGACCTTCAGTTCAACTCTCAGGACTAAACAGGTAAAATAAAAATCCTGTAATAAAAAAATAAGGGGAACTAAAAACAGAAAAAGAAAAACCCTTCTTAAATGATTAACAGACTCCTCCTTGCACCAGGTAAAAATTAACTACCTGTGCAAACCTAGCAGCCTGACCCTGGCATGCCTCTTACCATCTTTAGCAAAATAATGCTTAAACCAGAAAATACAACACAGATTAATAAAAACATTGGCTGCTAAGTATATGTTCATAGTTAGCATTTAAAAACCACAGCAGTGTGCTCTATACTACTGTAAACGCTGAGCTCACAAACTTATTCAAGTTCAAAATACATTATTATTGTTACTATTCTTTTAATCTGTTTCTCTGTGTAACCGCCCTGACTGTCCTGGAACTCACTCTGAAGACCAGGCTGGCCTGTGGGAAGGTACCTGGGAACAGTTTATAGGACAAAGGTAGATAGAATGATCAAAACATAAAGTAAGTGTGTCTGGAAATACCTGAGTTAGCTATACAGTTAAGATGCTAATCACTGTGTTTTAAACATTGCAAACAGTAGCTGAGATCAAAAGGCAACTTACGAATGGAATCCAAAAAGCCATGCCCCAACCCTTGGGAAGGAGTACATCCCAGCCACTTCCCCAGCCCAGGCGGTCTTCACCAGTCACTTTCCCTGGCTGCTGGATCAAAAGGATAGGTATTTTGGATTCACGAGGCCCTAAAACAAGCTGTGAGCCTGGCACCAGCAATTCACTTCTCATCCGGTTTAAATCCTACAGGGGAAGAAAACAAGTCAATACAAACAGCCACTGTCTTGTAGATCTTACTAGATCTTCTGGATCACCATAGGAGCAAGTTTAAAAGGGAAAGCATGCCAAAGCGGTGGTGGTGCATGCCTTTTAAACCCAGCACACAGGAGACAGGATCTCTGTAAGTTCTAGGCCAGCCTGGTGTACAGAGTAAGTTCCAGAACAGGCTCCAAATGTGTGTGTGTATAATTTCTTACTTCCTGACACCCCTCCCCCACTGTAGCCTTGACCCTGCCCCATCAGAGTAAATTCAAACATCAGCTTCTTCACACAGTAAGCCAGCCTCAGTGTCCTGGGCATTCCTTAGGCTTCCTAATGCCCTAATCACCTGTCAGTACCTAACACTATGCCGGCTCTGGTGAGAGCACAATCATTGTAAACTTCATACTTAAGGGGAATGAGAACTTTAAAAAAAATGAAGCAGCCAGGCAGTGGTGGAGCATACCTTTAGTCCTAGTACTTGGAAGGCAGAGGCAGGAGGACCTCTGTGGATTTGAGGCCAGCCTGGTCTACAAAGTGAATTCTATGTCAGCCAATAAAGTGCACGGGACTATGTGAAACATAAAATCATTCTGTAGGGTCTCTAGGAGGGTGACTGTCCCCTGTCATTCATGAGCTTACCGGTAATCCTGGCACATTAGTTACCTGATCTGAGATTTTATTCTCTGTGACACTCCTACAGATATCGTGGTTCCAGATAAAGCTATGCGCACACTCCAAGGGCACACCCTCCAGAAGCAGCTGTCTAACTTGCTCATTATCTAAGAGGGAAAAGAAACAGCCTTCAAACCACACTTTCATTCCTTCAATCTCCAATGCTGGAGGCCTGTGCTTACAGGGAAATATTTCATAGTTTAAGTTATTCTTACATTTGGTTTCCTAGTCTATGAAATAACACTTGTCTTTGTAATATTTTATGATGTTAACTTTTGTGCAGGCACACAATTATAATACTAACAATTATAAGTTGCCCCTTGGATTTAAGATAATGAAATTCTAGAAGACACCTTCTGTTACCCTTTCCCTCGGGTCTCTTATAACTTTGTTCATACTGTTCACTCCTGTCTATAAAACACACTTTGCCATTTCTTTAAAGAGAGCAATGTTTGTGAACCATACTGTTTCTTGAGCAAGCTACACTGCGCTTAGAATACCAGAAAGGAGGGTTTTCAGCAATGAACACTTACATTGACATGACACTTCCACACACAGTCACTTAAACATGACAGAAAAAAGTCCTTCAGATCTAATTCTGTTAGACTGATTAAAACAACAGGGGGAGGGAGTGTTGTTCCAAAATAACAACACAGAAACTCACTCAAAAGCACATACCCGTGTGGGTCTGCTGGCTGGGGGAAAAAATAAGTTGGATATGACGAGGTAAGGGGCATGACAGATTTCGGGGGGGGGGGGGAACAAATTAAAACGATGGAGACCAGAGAAGACACCTGCACTGGCATCTATAAACTGCTCTTCCTCTTGGAGACAGAGCAGTGAGGTCTAAGGTGCAGAGGCTGAGTACCGGGGATGGCCACAATGCCAGCGTAGGTAGGACAGGAGCCCCATCCCCAGAAGTCCTGGCCAACCCAGAATGCAGCCCTACAGAGCTCCGGGCAGGACTGAGTTGTAGACAAAAGAGGGAACTCTCAGGAAACAAAGCACCAGCTCATCTTCAAATATTCTGGTGAGGGACTAAAAGGAATGTGCCACAAAGTCATAGGAAACGAGCACTCTTAGGTACACGTCACCAAGAGAAAGGCAATCTGAGAAGGCCACCCACTTGTGAGTCCAACCACATGACACCTGGAGAAGGCAACACCATAGACCGTGAAAGCATGAAGGTTAGCAGGGAAGGAAGCTACAGCCTTCAACTCACTGTGTTGGGGACAGGACAGCTTCCACTGAAACGTCTAGTTTTTCCTCACAGTGGTGTAAAATGAGCTCCTACAGTCCACTGCGCCCTGGTATGGCACGGACATACAGCCAAAGGAAGGGTTATTTCAAGAGAAATCCTTTAAATGAGCCTACACAGACAATGCAACTCATTCTTTCCTTCCCTTCTGTTTTGGTTTGTTTGCTGCTAGCCAGTGAGTGTAGGGAAGGCAGAGTACACGCTTACAACACACACACTTAGTATATCCACTGCCACTGAGCCACACTTCCTGCTTCCAAGGCCAAGGGTTAAAGCAAGCTCTTTTCTGGCAAGGACCAGTTCAGAGAGTCTACCGGAGCACATCAGCAACTGCTAAAGATAGCAAATAAAGCAGAACATACAGAACAAATGTGGTTTGAGAGTTTCATTCCACTTTCCCAGTGCTGGCATTGAACCCAGGGCCATGTGATGTTAGGCTAGAGCTCTATCCCCAGGCTACAACTCACCTTGAAGACCACTTACTTACACAGTAAACTGCCCTGTTAATGAAGTTGAAAAGTGTTATAAAAACACGTTATTAATTCCCCCCACCCCCAGGAAGAGCGCAAACAAAGTTCCCCACTACCACAAATTACGCAGCAGGGTTTCCCACACTTGGAGAAATCACAGGGGTCGGCACATCAGGGTGCAATGGATAAGCCTCACCCTGAGAAAACAACCATCATGATCATGGGATCTCCCCTGCCAGCTAAGTATAATAATTAACTCTGAAGAGGCAAACCTCTCCAGAGCATGAGAACACAGCCAGGCTTCTAGGAACCTTTTCCTTTAAACTGCCTAAGATCCAGTTTATACAAGAAAACAAGGAGCTTGTTACCCAAAGCAGGCAAACTCTCCTCTGCAGGCTAGCAGCATCTGGATTTGGTCAAGGAACTGAGCTTCTTTTAATGACTGATCTTTTAATTGACCTAACCCAAAATGTACCTCTACCCTTCCTTTTGATTTAACTGCCTAGATGAGATATTAAAAACACTGATGTAAGACTAGTTCAACTAATTCCCCATGAAGTGTACACTGACATGGTTCAAGGCCAGCCTGGGTTAGATAACAAGTTCCAGGCCAGTCATAGCTACATAAGAAGTCCTTATCTCAAAACAACTAGGGACTGAACTAGGGCCACTCACATGCTAGGCAGCCATTCTACTGAGCTACATTCCCCAGCCCAAAAGTATACTTCGTTATGTAGCTCAACATCAAAATATATCCTCAAAGGAATTTCAGTACTTAAAACGGGAGGCAGAGGTAGACAAAGCTCTGTGAGTTCAAGGCCAACCTGCTCTACATAGGGGGTTCCAGGTCAGCCAGGGGTACCCAGTGAGACCGTCTCAAAAAAACAGCAACAAACACAGGCTATAATAAGATCCACAACAATGTCTAATAACACAAGGGTAGATTTTACAGTAGAACCCAAATCACATTTTTCACACTTTTTAACAGATTCATGTTAAACCTGTTAGAAAAGATGTTAGAACTGCCCATTCAAAAGCGGGTATGAGGTAGCCAGAGCGATAGAGAGTTTACCGGTGACTTTGAGGAGCCCCACAGGTAATCCCCAGGAGACTCTCCACCTTCCACAGTTTCACTAAACCAGACAGCAGCAGCAATAAAGTCTGAGGGTCCACAGTGACTGACTTACCCGTGTCTTCAAATCCACTCAGCCACCTTTTATGTGGAACTCTGACAGGGCCACTTATCGGTCCCTGGTAAGCTAGCTAACTACATGCACAGAGGTTAAAGACAAAATTGTGAAGTTATGGTATACACTTAAATGCTCTCTCCCAAAGTTCACAAGCCAGTTTAAATTACTCTCCTAGTTCAATGACAGCGAATCCCACCCTCCCAGCCATAGCTCTCGTGGGCCCCTCTACTCTGTCAAAAACCATGTGGTCTGATACTTCAGCACCTGGGATGGCCTTGCCAGGATTCGAACCTGGATCATCTGTATGGTCAGACAGAGGCTTCCAAAGAGCACAAGACCAGCTGCGGGTGCACGTCCCTTCCTCAGTTAAATTTTGAAGTTCCAAGAGACACACTTTAGAAAAAAAAAAACAGCTAGGTGTGTGGCCTACGCCTCCCTAAGAGACACTCCCGCACCACATCCTCAGACATGCACCTGGTGCAGCCACCACACCAGCAGCAGAGATGACATTCCTCATGGGACCTGACAGCCCAACAAGGAACGTGGCAAGCACTGTACCTTGGTATCTTTCCAGATGTGGCAAAGCTCTAGACCGCTGTGGTGGCAAATTTACTCTCGGATCCCCAACTGTCAACCCCAGAATAGAACCTGCAGGGATTTCCGCTGGTGACGATATCCCTTCAACAAAACAAACAGAAGGAATGCATAAAAAGCAAGCTTACAAAAAGGCTCCCACAGGGCAGGCAATATGGCTCAGTGAGTAAAGGTGCTTGCTGCCCAGTCTGAAGATCTAAGTCTACTCCCTGAGTGAAAAAGAGGACTTACACACACACACGCAAATAAATGTAGTAAGTTTTAAAAAAAAAAAAAATCACTAAAAAAAAGTCATAATACATATTATTGCAATCTTGTATTTGGAAATCTCAGATTTTTCCAGTGAAACTATTTTCTTGGGATAATTATTTTAAAATACATTAATATGCTTGGGAAATAAAAATAAAGTTTCTTGCAAAATAAAATTTAAAAGACATAAAAATTATCATCTTACAATATGAACACATACGTTTCCCATCAGCTGTGTGCATACAAGAGGCACTAAGTACAGACATTACGTTAGCACCTGATGGTCACTCATAACTTCAGAAGGCTAGCTATTTAGAGTCCAAATGACGTTTTATTTCATACACATGGTTACAATGCTTTAATCTTGGATGAAAAGCAAAACTACTCAATAGGGGCCAACTGCAAGCTGCTGTCCTGAGCCACTTCCTACTCCTGCCTTCCCTTCCTCCCCAGCACAACCAGATACCCCCTCTTCCTACCTCCCAACAACTGAAACACTGCTTCTTGTCTTTGATGAAGGAAAACTCCATCAGAGCTCTTCGAAGTGTCACTCCACCAGTGATGGGGTGTCTCCTCTGCATCCTCTTCCCCCTGGAAAACAAGAGCTCCACCTCAGCAGAAAAATGATGAGCCAGACCTAATACCTGCGTGTGAGCCAGTCCGGACAACCTCTATACTACAGCACGGTTGTAACACATAGGCTCTACCCCCTTTGTTTCTGGGTGTGAGAATAGCTATTTCACAAAGAGCAGCAGTGAAAATACAACTGTCCTCAAGACAGCAATTACTACCAGACTAAACACTAATTAGAGATTTCACATGTGCAGATATACAGCCATGCTTTTCAAAGACACGACTCAATTACGCATTGCCACACTCTTGTGCACAATTCCAACAGAGACACTGGGCCTCGCCCATTTTCACCGCCTTCATCTAATTTAGATAATAAAAATGTGCATTTCTCACCAAATCAGTGAAAAACTGCAAGCAAAACCCACTGCGCTATTCTTCACAACATTGGGCAAGATACATACACTTCACTAACCTCTTAGCAAGACTGGGATTTAGCAAGGTTTCCAAAGTATCTCAAATACTAGCTGCAAGACAGACATGACAACCAAGAGCTATGGTTTGTGCTGAGAGTCCCCTGGCCCCTGAAGGGTTAACTTGTAAGGCAGGTGCCACTCACCTCATAGAACACAAGCAGCAGGGCTAAGAGGGTTAGGCTCTAGAGGCAAACCTGAGTTCAAATCTTTACTCCAGATGTCCTTGTATGAATGTGCATCTTCTGGGTACATGCCTAAGAGTGGAATTACTATGTTCATAGCAGCATTATTTGTAATAGCCAGAACCTGGAAGCAACTAGATGCCCCCGAACTGAAGAAAGGATGGAGAAAATTGGTACATTTACACAATGGAGTACTACTCAGTGGAAAAACACAATGGAATCCTGAAATTCACAGGGAAATGGATGGAACTAGAAGAAACCATCCTGAGTGAGGTAACCCAGTCACAAAAAGACAAACACAGTATGTACTCACTCATATATGGATTTTAGACATAGAGCAAAGGATTACCAGCCTACAATTCACACTGCCAAAAAAGCTAGGAAACAAGGACGACCCTAAGAGAGACATACATGGTCCCCTGGAGAAGGAGAAAGGGACAAGATCTCCTAAGCAAACTGGGAGCATGGAGGGAGGGGAGAGGGAGTTAAGAGAAAGAGAGGGGAGAAGAGGAGGGGAGAGGTGGGCATGAGGGAACAGGAAGATTGAGACAGGAAAAGAATAGAGAAGAACAAGAAAAGAGCTACCATACTAGAGGGACCCATTATAGATTTAAGGAGAAATCTGACACTAGGGAAATGCCCAGAAATCTACAAGGATGAACCCAACTAACAATCTAAGCAATAGTGGAGAGGCTACCTTTAATGCCCTTCCACGATAATGAGATTGATGACTACCTTATATGCCATCCTAGAGCCTTCATCTAGTAGCTGATGGAAGCAGACACCCACAGCTAAACACTGAGCTGAACTCCTGAAATACATTTACAGAGAGGGAGGAGTGATGAGCAAAGGGGTCAAGACCAGGCTGGAGAAACCCACGGAAACAGCTGACCTGACCAAGGAGGAGCTCATGCACCCCAGAATGATAGCTGGGAAACCAGCATAGGACTGACCCAGAGCCCCTGAATGTGGATGTTAGTTAGGAGGACTGGGGCCTCTGGTAATGAATCGTATTTATCCCTAGGATACAAATGGACTTTGGGAGCCCATTCCACATAGAGGGATAGATATTCTCTCAGCCCTGCCCCAAATGATATGGCAGACTTTGAAGACTCCCCACAGAAGGCCTCACTCTCCCTGAGGAGCAGAAAGAGGATGGGCTGAGGTTTGGGGGGAGAACTGGGATTGACAAATTTAAATAATAAAATCTTTACTCCTTAAAGCACATAGAGGACCTTTCTCTGTGTGCTAGGGACTATGCTAAGCACTGCAGACGAGTAGAGGGCAGGACCGCGCCTGTCTACCATCAGAAGTCATAGAGACCAATAAGAGACACAGATGTTACACACACACAAGACTCGATAGTAAGCGGAGGTAAGTGCAGGATGCCACAGAACAGGGAATACAGATTGGATGAGGCAAGGGGAAACTTGAAGGATGAGGAACTTTTAGCCCAGCCAAGAGTAGCATGACAGAATGTTCAAGGGGCAGAAAGCAAATGGGTGAGTCAAGGAAATGAGATACAAATCTGCCTGGACTAGCATGACGGTCACATTTACTCACTGTGTGCAGAGGAGCAGCCCTCAGTGCCGAGGTCAGGATACAGTGGGAAAGAGGACCAATCAGCCGGAACCTGTTCATCTCCATTGTCAAATCACTGAGAAAAGACCATTCATTAAACAGAAACTTCCATCACAGATGATGTCTATATGTTGTGTGATATTTTATGTTCTAACAAATGAAGCTTGCCTGGAGATCAAAGGGCAGAGCTAGCTACTAGTTAGCCATAGAGGCCAGGCAGTGGTGGTTGATCCCAGCAGTAGGGAGGTAGAGACAGGCTCTTGCCCCTTTGGTCAGAGGATTACAAGAGGTAAGAAGTCCCTCTAGTGGCTGGCTGCTCTGCTTCTCTGATCTTCCAGCTTTCACTCGAATATCTGACTCCAGGTTTTTATTAAGACCAATTAGGGTCACACTTCATCTATACCACTGGCAAAAAATAGGACAAATCACAACAGACATGGTAGCACACAGGACAAGTCATAGCCAGGCATAATATGCCTTTAGCCCCAGCACCCGGGAGGCGGAGACAAGCAGATCTGAGTTTGAGGCCAGCCTGGGGTGCACAGTGAGTTCCAAGGACAGCCACAGCTGCATAGAGAAACCCTGTCTTGATAAACCAAAAGGAATAAAAGAGGGGAGTGAAATCTCCACTCAAAATATCCACAAGTCTCACAGTAAACTCAGCCCCTACCTGATGACAATCCCTGTAGTAGGAGAGACCCACGAACGTGGCTGACACGGGTCTCTAGTCCCATCACCGATAGTTCTCTTAGTTGGTTTAGCACTTCCTTCATCATCTTTCCTTTTTCTTTTCTTGCCAATTTTGTCGTCCGCTAGTTCAGGCTGACTTTCTTCTTGGGCTGGTGTCAGGAGTGGGTCAGGAACACTGACACTTGAGTTGATGGATTCTGAACAGTGGCACATAGTTTTCATTTCCTCCAGGACAGCCTAAGGAAGTGGTTACACATCAGCTTTAAATCCTTGAAATCTACAAAGGGAAACCTCGTGTCCAGAAAAACAGAAAAAAAACACCACCTCTAAACAAAGGGCGCGGGAGAGGTATTTCTCAGTGGTTAAAAACACTGACTGCTCTTGCAAAAGACCCAGGTTTAAGTCTCACCTACACAGGAGCTAATGTCTGTTACTACAGTTTCAGGCAATTCGACAGCCAGAATCTTCTGGCCTCCACGGGCACGAGGCACCCACGTGATGCACAGATATACATGCAAGCGAAATACCCACACACATAAGATAGAAATAAATTCATTCTTAAAAAATGTTTGAATTACAAATTGATAAAAATGGATGTGTTCGTTGTGGCAATCATTAAATAATGTGTATATATTTATCAGATCATCATGTTGAAGGTACATATACCCATCCTTTGTTCAATAGTCTTAGATGAAAAGATTTTTTTTTTTTTTAAATAAAGAAATACCAGTCAGGTATGGTGGCACATGGCTTTAATCCCAGCACTTGGAAGCAAAGCGTGTACATCTCTGAGTTTGAGGTCAGTTTAGACTACAAAGCAAACCCAGGGTAGCAAGGGCTACACAGGCCTTTTCTCAAAAAATAGAAGGAAGGATGGAAGGAAGGAAACAAAATTTTCACTGATTTAAAAAAAAAAAAAACAAAAAACATCATACCAATCTGTAAGCCAAACTTTAATACCACTGAAATTTTTAAAATACTGTCTTCCAATGGTAATTAAGAATATGACAATAAGCAGAGATGGCTCAGCAGGTAAATGGGATTGTCACCAAATCTGATGACATGAGTTTGATCTCTGGTACCCACAAGGTAGAGCAGATCCTCTGACCCCCACATGTGTACCCACACATTGTATAATTAAATAAATAGAATGCAACAGAACAATGTACCAGTTTAAGAGTTGGATGAAGCCAGATCCACAACTGCCTATCCTCAGAAGTATCCCCTGGGGTCTTCTTAGACTTCCAAATAAACGTAACAGGCCCAAGCATTTCTCTGGGATACTTATTTGCCCGGTAAAGCATGACAGTCCCTTGCCTCTTCCCAGACAAGCAGTGAACTGCAGCAAAAGTCAGTCCTGGACCAAACACAAACAAGACACTGAGACCTCAAGTGTTTGCTCACAGCACTACTTCCTGAGAGCCACACTGTTAGCCACTCTGTCCCCATCAGAGAAGCAGCTCTGGTTCTTTTAAGCTGCAACACACAATAAGTTCTCAAAGAGAGATTTTCAAATGAATGATTTAGTGAGTTTCAACTTGTTTCTACCTAAGCTTACTCCACAGAAGAATGGCTCACTTTACACATTAGAGTATCATTAAAGACAGGCTCTAAAGCTACAGAGAGAAACCCTGCCTCAAAAAACCAAAAAAAAAAAAAAAAAATATTAAAGATTTAAATATCAGCTAGAACCCTCTTCCAGAAACGATGGAAACAGATGCAGAAATCCGAAACTAACCAATGGGCCAAGCTCCTGGAGTACAATTGACGTGAGGGAGGAGCAAAAATATGAACAAAGGAGTCAAGACCATGATGGGGAAACCCACACAATCAGCTGACCCCAGCTAGTGAGAGATCACTGACTCAGGTCTGACAATGGGGAACCTGCATAAGACCCAACTAGACTCCCTTAATATAGGTGACAATGGTGTGACTGGGACAGTATATGAATGAGGCCACTGGCAGTGGGTCCAAGATCTAACACTAATACATAAACTGACTTAGTGGAGCCCCTTCTATATGGAGAGATATCATGCCCTGCCTAGACACAGGGATGTGGGGGTGGAGAGATGCCTTAGTCCTGCCTCAACGAGATGATGGGACAGACTCAGAGACTTCCTAGGGGAGGCCTTACCCTTTCCGAGGAGCAGATGAGAGGTGGGATTGGAGGGGAATGGGGGAGTGGGAGGAGAGGAGGGAGGGGAAACTAGGATTGGAATGTAAAAAATAAATTAATAAAAAACAATTTAAAAAATTTAAATATCAACTGAATCTTTCTTACATTAACATACTCACTGTGAATAAGAATATCTCACACATTCTCATATTAAACTGTGAAATGCTGATAGCAGACATTCATTCAACTAATTCAAAAATACACAAAAACTAAAGCAGATCCTGGCTGTGGAAGAGATTACCTGTGTCTGTGCTACACATCTGAGAAAGCACCTTCAGTATTTCTTCCTCTTTGCCTTTCAACTCCAAACAACAGTAATACGATAAGTCCTGAAGAAAGGAGAAACATAATTAAATATGCTATGACGTTATGTGGTTAAAAAAAAATGCTAAGAAGCCAATGCCATCTCAGAAACCTGCTCAGGGACACAGGAGGGATGGCTCAGAGGTTAAGAGCACTGGCTGCTCTTCCAGAGGATCAGGATTCAATTCCCAGCTACCATATGGTGGCTCACAACCATCTGTAATGAGATCTGGTGCCCTCTTCTGGCACAAAGGCATACATACAGACAGAACACTGTATATAATAAATTGATCTCAAAAAAAAATATATATATATATATATATATATTAAGAAGGCAATGCCATATCAGAAAACCTGCTGAGGGACACAGAAGAGATGGCTATGAAGTTAAGAGCTTGCACTGTTCTTGCAGAGGACACAAGTCCCAGCACCTGTTCTGGGTGGTTCACAACTGCATAAGTCCAGCTCCAGAGGGGATATGATCTAACACCGCTGGCAAAAAGAAAACCTGTTCTAAGACACAAAACCAATCCAATCACCCAAAGCCAGCTTTTCAACAACTCAAAAACCTACAGTCTGCCTATTACATTAGCAGACAGTCTCAAGCCAATCTGAGCCAAAAATCAAAATGAATCTTCATTTAATTTACGACATACAGGGTCCTACATTTTAGCAAGCATATTTGAGTTTTATCCCACTCTCACGGACAAGTTCAAAGTGGGCTATAAAAACTGCTGCTTCTAAATAAAGGGTTTTTCTTTCCTCAGATCCACATAAGGTGAGGAACAAGACAGAGAATTCCACAACTTTGGCTAGCCAGTGCAGTACCTGAGTTACACAGTACAGTGCAGAATTCTGACATAAACAATTTGTCCCATCTCCCTCCCATACTCTGTCCTGGCTCTGCTCATCTAAGCAATGCACAAGGAAACCTAGGAGTAAGATATTACTACTGTAGGTAAGACGAAGAGAGACAGGGATTGAGTTATAAAGAATCCTAAAGATCTATAACAACAGCTACAGTCTTTCCTACAACCTTACAATCAGTCCTATTGTTCCTGGCATCCCAAAAGAGGGCACCAAAGCACCAAGACAGGCATCTGTGTAACACTATATAGTTCAGCAGAAGTAGCTGTCAAGCCAGGACCACTGACACCCAAACCAACCCTAACCACAGCATCTTGAAGCAAGTTCAGTGTACTCAGCAATCAGAACCGAAAGACAGAATTACAGCTGTGCCTAGGACAGATCCAGAGCAGCCTCTGCCATCACGGGCACAGAAGCCTTCCTGCCTACCAACAATGGCTCCCTCTCAGTTACCAGTGACCAGATGGAGCTCGCCCAAATTTGTACAACTGGGTCACCTGATGCCAAGCTCAGGAGCTGCACGGTCACGGGTGAGTTACCCAGATCTCAGTAACTTAGTCTTGTCATCTGTGAAACAAAAACTTCCAACCTCATGCTATTGTTGTAAGGACTGAATGAAGAGTGAACACATGTAAAGCACCGGAAGCCAGCTGGACACAGGCTATTCTAGTCCAGCACTGACTAGTGTTGAGACCCGGTCTCAAAAACAAAACAAAACAAAACAAAAGAACAGCACATATCCCTTACAACCATATATTTTCTAGTAATTGTTAGACGTCTCTCTCCCACTAATGCTGCTCCATCCCCAGCATCCAGTCTCTGAGGCCCAGTCCTCAGAGAAAGGACTATCACACCGTGAACAATTCTAAAAGCAAGTACTAGGAAGGTCCCAAGTTTACCTGCAGGAGGCAGAGATTTGTCATGGCGCGGTAGCAGGCTCGGTGGCTCTTGGACGTGGGCCTCTCCCCAAGGCAGTAACCCCACTTCTTCACCATATGAAACCGTTTGGCGTGCCAGATGTGAGTCTCAAGCCATATATTCTTCTTCTGTCTACGGTTGAATTCCAGCGTCCGGTTGACGTGACATCTCCTGGCTTTGTGGCATTTATTTTTTGAATGTTCTTTCTTCTGGTGAGCAGCTTTCTCTGCCTATGGTTTAAAGAAGAAAGGCTGACCCTTCTGCGTAAGCACCTGAGCATCAGGTTGAGCATCAGGAATTCATAAGACTAACTACAAGTACACAGGGTAGAGACTCGACAGGCCAGTTTATTTAACTGGTTAGCTTGGGCTCTTCTCTGATGTTGATTAGAGAAGGAGACAATGAAAAGTATGAAGACTTCAGAGATAGGAGAGCTAGAAAAAGGGAGCAAAGTTCCAACACTTACTGCAGGGCAAGCCTCATAAAATATCAACACACGGGGCTGGAGATACGGCTCAGTTTACAGCACATGTTGCTCTTGCAAAAGACCCAGGTTCAATTCCCATCACCTACATGGTGGCTCATAACCATGCATAACTTCTGGTGCCCTTTTCTGACTGCCTGAGTGCCAGGCATGTACGTCGTGCACATACATATACACATGCAGGGAAACATTTATGCACGTAGAACAAAGCAAACAAGTGAAAAAAAAAAAAAAGAAATGTTCAACACAGTAACATAAGCTTCATGTGGTTATCAGCAGAGAGCAAGATAAATCAAACATTAGCTTCTTGTTTTAACCTTCACTTAAGATCAGAAACAGTGAAACCGGAATACCAGGTGGTCACTGCATTTAGGCATGTTACATTTTGCTACTAAAAAAAAAACCTCACATTCAATCTAAAAGTACAAAAGTCCTGGTTAGTTTCCACACTTCAATCTCTTCAATTATTAAACTAACCTTCTTTGAAAACAAACACTTTATAATTTGCAAACCCCTTGTAAGATAAGAATTTCAACATGCTGAATTCTAACCCACTCCCAGCCTAGTACCAACACACAGCAGGCACTTGGTAAACACATTTTGATGCTTATAGTAAAGACATGGGTAGCTTAACCAATTTTAGAGTAAAGCCCAAACATAATTAGGATTTGTATAAAAATTAAAACCAAGTTCAAGCTTTCAACTTTAAAAGAGCCAAACAGCTCTGAGCTGGCCACACTCTAAAAACACAGGATTTAAAGTACATACCTGGTGGGAGAATCAGAGTTACTTTAAATTTTATTGTGTGTTTTCATGTTTACACACACATGGCATGGCTATGGCTCACATGAAGAGGTCAGATGACACCCTAAGGGAGTGGATCCTGGGGATCAAACTCAGCAAGAGCCTTTACTAGACGAGCCATCTCACAGCCCTCGAATTCACTAATTCCACATCTTTAAGAAAGAGGAGGTTTCGGGGCAGGACAGATGGCTCAGTGGTTAAGAGCACTGGCTGTTCTTCCAGAGGACCCAGGTTCAATTCCCAGCACCCACATGGCAGCTCGCAGCTGTCTATAATTCATTTCCAGAGTACCTGACATCCTCATGCAGGCAAAACATTTATGCACATAAATAAAAATAATAAATGTATATTGTTTAGAAAGGAAGAATGAAAGAAAGTTTTCACTCATTATGATGGCCCTGTAAGCCCAGCACTAGGGCCGTAAAGGCAGGAAGATCAGTTCTAAAGGTCTTCCGTAGCTACATATTAAATTTAAGACCAGCCTGTGCTACGTGAGACAGGCCAGGGAGAGAGGGAGTAGAACAGAGCAGTTCCATTGCTGTATTTTAAACTCTTGTTTTGGGATGAGATCGTCTCACTTGCTGTCCTGGCTGCCCTAAAAACTCACTATGTAGACCAGGCTGGTCTCAAACCCACAGAGATCATCCTGCCTCTGCTTCCTGAGTGCTAGGAGTAAAGAACCACTAAAAGCAGCTACAGTATCTAACTACCTGCTAAAGTAGCTAGAGAAGGTGGACAGGGCTAGATAAAGTTCAAATTAAAAATATTCAAGCAAAGAAAAAAGAATATCACAGTAGGCATGCTGATTTCCTTAAAATTCTCCCACATCAACACTTGCTAACATTTCTATAGGAACTACTAACCTAAATATTAACACCAGGTGAAACACCCACCTCTTTTTTGGCTATCTCCTGCAACCGTCTAGGGAGGCGTTTGACATTGTGGCTCATGGCTCTACGTCGCATGTGCCTTGGAAGGGTCTGGAAAACCAGTGAATTAGACGACTTCTGGGCCACGGCTTTTAACATAGCACTGATCTCAGCTGCTCGTGCCTGGGCGAATGTAGAAGCTGTGAAGAAAATGGCAAGGGCACTAACAGCAAGCCTTGAGGCAGCAGTCTCTCAGCAGCATGAGACCTCAAAGAGTAGCTTACAGCAGGACACTGTGACTCCGTGAGGTATGCCCCAATACTAGTCCAGAAGAGTCTTCAAAAACATTTCCAATTCTTTTTCTCATTTTTTATTTTTTGGTTTTTCGAGACATGGTTTGTCTGTAGCTTTGGAGCCTGTCCTGGAACTCACTCTGTAGACCAGGCTGGCCTGGTCTCTGCCCCCCACCCTTCCAACCCCTATACCCTGAGTGCTGAGATTAAAGAAGACATGCACCACCACCACCACCCCCAGCTTTTTATCTTTTTGGGGTGAGGGACAGGGGTGGATAGTTAGGGGTTGTGGGGTGGGGGTGGGGTGTTCTGTAAGAATTCCATTTTCTAGTTGGGGAAAATTCCTAGCATCCTAAATATTCTAGTTAGTAAAAAAGGTTAGCCAACGTTAGGAGTTTTGAAGAAGAGAGATTGCAAGCACCATATAGTCTCGAAATCTAATCACAACCAGTGTTTTCCATTCTCTTTAATCCTGTATCGAGCTGTGTGCACATGATGCATGACATGAGTATGTGGCTGCATGCACCCGGGCTCATACATGCAGAGGCCCAAGGAGGACATCTGTGTGTTCCTAGCGTCCTCTGATTCATCCCCTTGGGACAGGGGGACCAGCCAGCCAGCGAGCTCCAGGGTCAACGATGCCCAGCTTTCCATAAGGGCACTAGAGATTCAAACTCAGGTTCTGTGTTTACAGCAAATGCCATTACCACTGAGTCGCTGTCCCCGCCAGCCCCTAATCATAACTGTTCTTAAGCGCAACATTCACAAATGAAAAAAAATAAATAAATAAAGGGGAAAAAATTATAACAAGGGGGTTTTTCTTTATCATTTCCTGCTTTTTCAAAACTTGTAATAATTATTACTGGTTTTCTTCACTAAAAAAACAGAATCGTCTCAAGCTTCTCTCTGTATATTATCTCTCTGTGAACTTGGTGCTAGAGAAAGAAGCAAATTGATCTAAGAAGGAATGGAGATACTAGAACATCTAAGTTACGTTAGTTCAGGGAACAGTGGGGATGGAGGGGATGCATCACAGGTCATGAAGCTGAGGTTGCCAAGAGCCTGCAGGCCAGGCTCAAAGTCTTGGTTTCTATAGCATGCAGAGCATCATGCCAAAGAGTGTGAGGTACTTTAGGGGGGAGGGAGATGGGAGTTAGGGAACAGCTTGTGAATAGATTTATGAGACCACTCAGAGAATCTGAAGCGGGGACAGCCGGCAGCTTGAGGACGTAAGGCTAGAGGTGAGCGGCAGTTAGAACAGAGAGAAGGGAGGCAGCCCCCACACTGACACTAGAAACCAAGAGCTCACGCTCCCTTACGAACACCTACCAGTTATATACTTGGGGATCTCCTGAGATGTGCCCTCAGGACCTGCTTTCCAGCCTCCCTTTTTCTTGAACATGATTTTGGAGGAAGATTGCTCATTCACATCAGACTCAGGAAGCAAGTGGGGACTCGTCTTCACTTGCAATTGCTGGGAGGTTCCAGAATGAAGCTCTAGGACATTTTCAAAGACAAAACAAAAAGAAGTATGTCACCCATATCAGAAACAGGGTTACAGGAGAGAATTAATTTGTTAACCCTACAACCACCCTATGGTTTTTATTACTTACCCATCCTCCGTGTGTGTGTGTGTGTGTGTGTGTGTGTGTGTGTGTGTGTGTGTGTGTGTGTGTCTATGTCCAAGCACAGGTCCTAAGGACTGAACTCAGGTCACCAGGCTCACCTATCAAGTGCTTTTACCCTCTGGACCATCTCACAGGCCTCATTGCCTGTTTTTAAAGAAAAATCTTGGGTAGGAAGGTGACTTTCACAAGTCCCAAAGTGAGTAGTAGGCAGCACAACAGGTAGTCATGTCAGTGTGACACATTAACAGGGACAACAGGTAATCGTGTCAGTGTAACATACTGACAGGTACAACAGTAATCACACTGATGTGACATGTTAACAGAAACAAGAAAATTTTCCCCTTTGAGATTTCCAGTGTAACATGAATTATTAATCTAAGCCCTACAGTTGCTATGGCATAAACGTTTGCAAACAGGAGAAAGGTAAGTGGAGACTTTTACAGGGGGGCCTGTTTATGCCACTGGAATGTCAATTATCAAGCCACTACAATCTTAAAACACATTAATAAAAGGTTTGTACCTGTAAAATTTAAATAAGATAATATGTGGGAAGTTGTAGCTGTCTATTTCTAGATCTAAATATAGAGCTTAAGAATTTAAATGTAGGGGCTGGAGAGATGGCTCAGAGATTAAGAGCACTGGCTGCTCTTCCAGAGGTTCTGAGTTCAATTCCTAGCATCCACACTGTGGCTCACAACCATCTATAAGGATATCTGATGCCCTCTTCTGGTTTGCAGGCACACCTTGAGACAGAACACTTTACACATAATAAACAAATCTTACACAGAGAGAGAGAGAGACAGGGAAGGGGAGAGAAAGAAGGGGGAGGGGAGAGGGAGGGGAAGGGAGAGCGAGGGGAGGGAAGAGGGAGGGGAGGGGAGGGGAGAGGGAGGGGAGAGGGAGGGGAAGGAAGAGGGGAGAGGGGAGGGGGGGACAGGGAGAGGGAGAGAGAGAATTCAAACCTAATGTTGACTCGATCAGGCCTAAAGCTCTCTGCTCCCTAAATGAGCTTTTGGAACTGGCGTTCTCTACTGCTGTCCTGTGAACACCTCCACCCTACCATTTCACAAGGGTCCGAGATTACCACATTGGTTAAATGGTGATATGATGACTATTATTTCTCTTAGGAAACACAGAAGTATAACTTAAGTCAAATACATCAGATCTAAAACATGCATGACCACACTACAGCAGCATGTCTGTCTCACAAAGTCAAGTGAACACTGAGTGAACAGCAAACCGACAAGTCTCTCTCCTCCCTCCTTCCATATGTACCCCCCTCTCTCTCTCTCTCACTCACTCACACACACACACACACACACACACACACTCATAACGAGTGAAAGAGAAAGCTTAATCTCATACAGATAATAATTTTAGGTATCATTATCACACTGACTCAAACATGGCACATGAGTGAAGGTCAGAGGGCAACTTTTAAACAATCAGTTCTCTCCTTCTACCATGTGTTTAGGGAATGGAACCCAGGTTGTCAGGCTTAGCCTGGGCATTTCCCACTCAACACCTGACCCACTCAATACCTGACCCACTGAGCATTTACCAGGCTGTAATTTTATGGTGTAGAAACAATTCATACTGGTGGATTCTATTGCCTTTATTTTGCAAATATATAGAGAGAATGATATTCGAAAGTGTTAAGTGACCGCCCCCAAGCTGGGAGTCAAACCCCAGGCAGCTGGGGCTCCCTGCGCGACTCTATTGTAGAGTCTCCATGCTCTGGCACTGTCTGAAGAGGCAAGCAGCTGGTAACTGACATTTCAGTTGAGGCACCTGAAGCCCCCTGGCTCTCTACACACCAGGGATGACAGGCACGGCTCTCTACCTGTTAATATGGGGTTACAGGTGAACTGCAAGGAGAAGGCAGATATGGAGAGTTCTCTGTATCTCTTTAAATCAACTTAAATTGTTCGCTTCTGAGATGACGGCTAGCAAACAAAGCTGGCAAAAGCAATTTAACCCAGACTGAAGTGAGAAGACCAGCGAGTGCCTCATACCTTGTTTTTGAGATTGGGAAGGTCTCCCTCCTCCAAATTGACGCACTCCACCTCTGTCAGCCCCAAAGCCAGAGGCTAAAGTGACATTCGTGGGCTGGTGTCTCATTTTCTTAGCATGTTTTCTTTCTTTTGCATTAGACATTTCTGGAAGGAAAGCAATTCACTTACTAGAGGGAGACAGTTGCTCACATCAGCATTTGAGAGGCAGAGACAGGAGACTCAGAGTTCAAGGTTATCCTTAGCCACACAGCACAAGACCAGCCTGGGCTACCTGAGCCTGTATTTCAAAACACAACAAAAGGATTTGATTTTTAAAAGGGTCAGCAAGATAGCTCAGCACGTGAAGGTACCTGCTGACAAATTTGATGGCCTTCATTCAATTCCTGAGACTCACACGGTGCAAAGGAAGGCCTACTCCAAGTTGCCCTCTGACCACTATATATATGCCCACCGTGGCACATCCCCAAGTCCCCACACAAATAAATAATAGAGGTAAAATAATGAATCTAATAAATATTTACCTAACTCAACATTTGAGGATACCAAAATGTTTCCATACTAATCTATACCAGGCACTCCAAAAAAAGAGAAATTCTGATGAAGTCATAAATGGAAGCCATACCCAAAACTCATCTCAATAGAAAGTACGACCTTTACCTACATGAAGCGGAGGCCCTGAATCCTTCTCCACCCTCCCATGGACCAACAAAAACTGGACCAACAAAAACAGAGGAATAATGACCAGCACAGCAGTGATTGCACGCCAATGATGGCGCGATCTACTGTGGAATAAAGGACACCTGGAATCCTTCAACTGAAGCAGGAATTTATCCGTAGCACTTGTGTTCCAACCCCTGCTTGGCCACGTACAGCCAAAGTATGAGCTGAGACCTAAGCCTTAACTTCTCTCTGGAAAACGGAGACAAGCACCCACCTCATAGTTGCTGTAAGCACCAGATAAAAATGCACCCTGGGATTCGGTTTCTGTGTAACAGCTGCACTGGAGTCAGATGTAGAGAGAAACACTGAGAGACCAGAGAGAAGGAGCAAGACACAGCACACCTCACCTCCTCAGTACCTCAGCAGACAAGAGGGCAATTTCCTGTTTGTCCCTGCTTACATCCTGTTTCTACCCAGCTACATCATTCCTGTCTGTCTGTACAGACCTCCAGACCTTAGTGGCAAGCTCCATGCTCTGAACCCCAGACAGTCTTTATTTGTGCAAGAAAGACATCACCACAAGAAGTATGTTTCTTAGCAAAGTGTGGTGCTGCTGTGTGCTTATAAAGCCGGTACTCAGGGCCAGCTGGGCAGAAGAGGCCAACCCCGAGCTACACAGCAAGTACCAGGCCAGCCAGGGCGTCACACATCATGACCTTGTCTCAAAAAAAAAAAAAAAAAAAAAAAAAAAAGAACATAAAAATGTCTTGATGGAACTGGGAACTGTCCCAACAGGCATATTTTGCATCGCCAAATAATTAAACTACCTCAAATGCTAACCCTGCATAAAGTGGCATGAGACAGGATCACTAAAATTAAATTAGTTGTAACGTTTTATCTTTGTTCTTAGATGAAATAAAAGGCACCAGAATAAATTATAATTAAAGCATCTGACTCCAAACTGAAGATAAATTATTGGTCTTTCCCTGTAGACTACTGAGCTGAGGCTAGCTAGCTATATCTTTAACGTGTAAAAGCAACAGACGATTTTGACTTCACGTGAAACACATAAAAACTGACAACATAACAATCAGATGGATTTACTCGGTAGTTCCCAAATTTGAAACACCTGTTTTCTTTTATTGAAATAAAATTCAAGACATAGGGCTGACTAGAGACCTAACTTTTAACAACACCCAATGCAACGCAACATAAAGACCTGAAAGGTTATTTTAATAAAAACAATATGCATTTCTGAATGCATTTTTCCACAACTACACTAGATGACACTCTGAAACCGGGGCTTTTGAACCAACATAGGCGTTGGGATAACCCATAAAACTGGAGCCAGGCCCTCACCTCATGCCACAACCACACCCCAGTCACCGGTCGCTCAGATCGAAGGGGTGACAAAAAAAGGCAGACAACACAACACACCTCCGCAGGGTTCCCCCCCAATGACCCACCCCGGACCTTTAGGGAACCAGGAAAGGGATGCAAGCGCATTCCCAGGGCGGATTCTTCCTGGCAGGGCCAGGACGAGCCGAGCGTGCAGCTCCCGAGGGCCCGCCCGGGCAGCACGGACCTCGGCGTGAGAAAGATGCCCTGAGCCGACCCCGCCACTGCAGGCATGCGTCCCCACACTCGGCCCCCGCGAACCGACGGACCCCGTTGGGCGCCAGCGCCTCCCCACCAACCAACCTGCCAGACGCTCTGAGGACTCCGCGCGTCTGAAGGCTCCCACGGCAGCCGCTGAGCGAGCCGAGAGCGCATGCGCCCACACCGCCGCTTCCTCCACGTGTCCCAGAGTCGCGCGAGAACTACAATTCCCATCGTGCCCTGCGAGCCCGCCCAGGGCGGTGCCTGCGGCAAAAACCGTAGTACCTACGGTTATTGGCTCAGAGGAGTGAGAAGAGCTGCGGTGGAGTCTTTTTCTAGAGGGTCTGGGTGAGAGGATCAGCATGTCGTCCATCATCAGAAAGGTGATCAGCACCACAAAAGCCCCGGCGGCCATTGGTGCCTACAGGTAATGTTTCTTAGGCTGGCACTGATGGACTGGGTGTGAGCGGGTCGTGCTTTTGGAACTGCGGCAGCTGGAGGTCTGAGCGGATGAGGGTCTCAGAACCAACCCCTTGTAAGTGCGAGGAAGCTGAGTCCCTAAAGGCGACTTTGCGCCCAGATCCCCTCAGGGAATGGGGGAGCTTTAGTGTGACCTGAAGCTCGCACTCCCGGGGACTTTGCCCCCATCTGGAGCTGCCTGGCTCTGGAGCCAAGCTTGCCACACTGGCTTTCTCTGATTAGAAGTGGCATCACCCACCCCTACCTACCCCAAACCCTTTGTGGCCTCTGTCTTTGTTTTTTTCTTAACAACTTTATTGGGATATAACAAACAAGTTCATTCCTTCAGTGGGTACAATTCAGTGGCTTTTACCCTGCTCAAAAGTTGTCTAGCCATGACCATTTTCTACGCTCCAATTATTTGCATCCATCCTAAAATTAGCTTTCATTCCATGTGAACTCTTCCCCCAGCCTCTTACAGCCACTCATTTGCTTTCCCATCGCTATAGGGTTGACCTATTAAAGACATGTCCTCTAAAAAGAATCATACACCATGTGGTCCGCTATGACGGACTTCTTTTACTAGCTAGCATGAAGTTTGATCTAACCCTTTCTTAATTCACAAGAGTAAAAACCCATCAACAGATATGCATGCTTCGTGTCGACACCTGATTCACAGCGATACTCGGCAAATCTCTACATGTCTATCCAAGTCCCTGGATTTTACAGCATGTAGGCACGCAGTGTGATGTTTATGAGTGGTCTGCCCACGTTTATTTATCATTAATATCAAATGCAAAGTGATGTTGCCTTATATACTATAATTAAATACACATGTACTTGACGGGGGAGAAAATCGCCCTTGGACATTTATATTCACTTGTCAGAAGTGCTTTTAATTACAAATGGTACTCTTTCTTCGTTTTGCAGGGCTGTGAAGGACAGGGTCTTACTGTGTATGTAGCTCAGACTAACTTGGAACTTCCTGTTTCTTGACTCAGAGATGAGGACCAGCACACCTAGCTTAAAACCTTATTTCCCAAAATGCCTCGGCTTTAAAAAACTCCCTGAATCGTATCTTGTGTGCTCCTGCAAACTTTCTCCTGGATAATTTCTTTCTAAGTCCTCTCTGAAGTATGTCTAGAGCCAATTTCCCTTTGAAAAAAGTAGTTTCTCTTAACTGTCAGTTAGAGCTGAAGATTTTTTACAGCTGCAACACTTGAAAAGTGGAAATTGTGTAGCAGATGCCAAGTACTTAACTGATAGAAAATGTAAAAGAAGTAATCCAATGTGAAAGGCCTTCACCTATAACACAGAAAGAAATCATTAGTTCGGTGGGTGTTGTATGGCAGGCACCATGGCAACCAAATGTTCTCCTTTAAGTTGTCTCCATTTGTCAAAAGGACAGGCTCTCAAGGTCAACCATTTCAAGGTCATAGAGGCTGCAAGTGACATCTTGATTTGAACTCAAACCCTAACTGTCCTAATACCACACTATCAAGAGAAATAGCATTCATGTGTGGCAGGACAGTAATTATTATAATAAATAGGGTTGGAAATGAAATTTAATGCCACGAGAGACCAAGAAATGGAGAAAAACTGACTACTTTAGAGCAGAGAAAGAAAAAAAAAAAAAGATTTAGAAAGTTCCTTGTGAAAGGTAGTCAGGTTAAATTTTAAAGGCTGTACTTACCGCCTCTGGCAGTGTTGACTCTTTAAAGTTGTTTTGTTAAGGACTTGCATTCCTATCAGAAGAGCTCGCTTAAGCGAGGGCACAGAGGTACAATGTGCAGGATGTACAGTTAGGGGGAAATAATTTTGCAATTGAACAGCTTTTCTTTTTCTTCCAAACTGTGTACCAGGTATTTTATAACTTTGTGCACATTTTCTTTGAAATGACTCACTTTCACTTAAATCTAAAAGGAAACAGAGGTTGAGAGCACTGACTGTTTTTCCAAAGGTCCTGAGTTCAATTTCCGACAACCACATGGTGGCTCACAACCATCTGTAATGAAATCTGGCGCCCTCTTCTGCCCTGCAGGCATACATTCAGGCAGACCACTGTATACATAATAAATCTTTTTTTTTTTTTTTTAAGGAAACTTTATTAGAATACAATAAATAGGAAACAATGCAACAGAAAGTAATTATTAAAACAAAACTCCAAAATTCTATTTACATAGCACAGTTTTGCCCAAAGCTTTGGGTCTGCTCTTTTTGTTAAAAGTGTTTCTGGCTGGAGCTGGAGAGATGACTCAGTAGTTAAGGGCTCTGCCAGGGACAAGTTTGATTACCAGCATCCACATGGGTCCATTCACAACCATCTACAACTCCAGCTCCAGGGGATCCAACTCCCTGTGGTAGCCTTCATGGGTATGCACAGGGGTGGTGTATATACACACATGTGCATAAATAATAATTTCTCCGTGTGTTTCTGGCCGAGGGTGGACATAGCTCAGTGAAAGAGCATGCTGACTATGTGTGGAGCCCTGGATTCAATTCCCACAGTATATTTGAAAAAGGATCATTTCTTTATAATTTTCTTTCTGGAAATAGTTTTCTTAATCCTTAATGCAGTAAGAAGGGTCAGAACCACAACTGCTGTCTCTGCTTCCTCAGCACTAACAGTGTGCTGCACGCACCATTATTATTACTTATTCCATTCTTCAGATGTAAGCGCTGACATATGCCAAGCTGAATAATTTGCCAAGATAACCCCCTTAAGTGGTATGGTTTAATCAAGTTAGAAGTGGTGTAATGGACTCCAGGGCTGATTCTGAACAATTTCAGTTTAGAAGAATTCAAAGACAGCTAAAGAAAAAAAAAAAAATTGCTCTTAATATGGTTCACTGCCTATGTCTGAACTTCTAGGAAAAACATTAAAAAATTGGCATTAAGAGTTGAACTTTGACCACGCAGTGGTGGCGCACACCTTTAAGCCCAGTGCTCCAGAAGCAGGGGCAGGCAGACCTCTGAATTCAGGCCCAGCCTGGTCTACAGCATGAGTTCCAGGACAGCCAGGACTGCACAGACAAACCCTGACTCAAAAACAAACAAACAAAAAACCAAAGTACAGGACTCTGTCAAGGAGAACAGAGTCGGACTTTGGATTTAAATTCTTACTTGGCTGCTGCTTCTTCTTCTTTCTCTTCTTTTTTTTTTTTTTTTTTTTTTTTTTTTTGTTGTTGTTGTTGTTGTTTGTTTGTTTTTTGAGACAGGGTTTCTCTGTATACTTTGGAGCCTGTCCTGGAACTAACTCTGCAGACCAGGCTGTCCTCGAACTCACAGAGATCTGCCTGCCTCTGCCTCCTGAGTGCTGGGATTAAAGGCGTGCGCCACCAACACCTGGCTTACTTGGCTTCTTTTTAATTGTGTGACCTTGCAGAGACACTTTGTCCCTCTTAGTTTGCTTCTCTATCTCCTACAGCAACATAATACGCTGGTTCTTAAGTTTAAATGAGGAAGTGGCCAGTCCAATAAAATGGCTTTTGAGAAGAGAATTCTAAAAAGCAAGGCGGGGGTGTCCAACACCTTGACACAGATATACATGCAGGCAAAACATAAGTACACATGTAATAAAAATAAATTATTTAAAACAGAATTCTGACAGTAATTGAGATAGAAGTTTGGAGCTGAGTGAAAACAAGAGATTTATTGCATATCTAAAAATTAATCATTTTTTTTTCTTTCTCAACCCTAATCCCTCCTGTGACCACAGCATGTGGGGAACAGAGAATTCCCCAGAGTCAGCTGACAAGATAGACTAAGATAGACTAATCAAATGAACAAGTTCTGTGTTCAACTGAGAGTATATATATATGATTGCAGAAGACTCTTGATGTCAACATCTGGCCTCCATGGGCACATGTGCATCAAAACTCAAGAACATACACACACACACACACACACACACACACACAAAATGCACAAAAGAGAGACAAGAAAACATAGCATAATATTTCTGATTAACTTGGGAACGGTGAGGTAACTGCTTTGTGAAGCTGCATGTAGGGAAGAGAGTCACAGAGAGTATATGCCAGTCTGGAGGGAGAAAAACCTTCAGCTGGCTTCATGATGTCTGGAGTTTCCACTCTGTATCCTGATGAAAGGGAGTAAGACACAATGCGGGGATCATTTGGAAATAAAGGTTTTTTTTTGTTTGTGATGTTTGTGGTGAGTACACTCTGTGAAATTCTAGGTACTCCAGGAGAATTCTAATGTGCTGAGCTTTTGAGTCCTCAGCATCGGCATGGACGGGACGTTGTCATGGTTAGATTAGCTTGCTGGCTCAGCATATTTTAGGATACTGAGCCTGGAGTGATTGCAACATCCATGCTATTGCATGGCTTTCCATTTCGTGAGCACAGATTATGACTGGAAGACTAGTTGGAATGTTTTTTAAAGTTTTATTGCCCCTGGTTTGGGGGTTTGCTTGGTTTGGCATAGGTGTTCTCTCTCTCTCTCTCTCTCTCTCTCTCTCTCTGTGTGTGTGTGTGTGTGTGTGTGTGTGTGTGTGTGTGTGTGTGTGTTTCAGACAATCCTTCTCTGTAGTCCTAACCAGCCTAGAACTCACCAGGCATTCCAGGCTAGCCTCACACATGGCAGTCCTACTGAGTACAGGAATTAAAGGTTTGTATCATCATGCCTAGTGGATTTCTGGCAATGCTTTTCAATGTTTGGAGCCTGCATGGGTGAGATGGGAATCTGATGCCCTCTTCTGGTCTCTGGGCACCCACACACAACATGGCACACACTCACACAAACATATACATCTTAATGTGCAAAACTGATTTATTTTATTGTTGTATGCATATGAAAGTTTTGTTTGCATATACATCTGTACGGTGCATAGCTGAAGAGACAATAGGATTCCAGATCCCCCTAGGACTGGAGTTACAGACAGAGTGAGCTACTTTGTGGATGCCTGGAATCGAACCTGGGTCCTCTGCATGAGCTGCAAATGCTCTTAACAACTAAGCCAACTCTCCAGCCCAAAAATAAAATCTTTTTGTTGTTGTTGTTGTTGTTGGTTTTCCAAGACAGGGTTTTTCTGTGGCTTTGGAGCCTATCCTGGAACTAGCTCTTGTAGACCAGGCTGGCCTCGAACTCACTGAGATCTACCTGCCTCTGCCTCCCAAGTGCTGGGACTAAAAAGGCATGCGCCACCACCGCCCAGCACCAAAATAAAATCTTTGAAAAGAAAACATTACAAAACAATTTCTGGAACCCAACAACTGGGTGAGTAGGATTCTTAGGCCCAGAAAGTAGCCATTTGGTTTTTTTGTGAACAAACCTCTTTAAATCTTTGAGAGGTGGTTCACGTAATGCAAATAGTCTCAGCTCCAGTGATTACTTTTGTTATTCTAAACAAATGGATGTCTTTTCACTATCATAAAGCATATGATCGCTGATAATGCATTTGAGTTTAACCTCTCAGGTGTCTGGAGAGCCGAAGATATTTTTGTGAAGGGCCTAGTGCACACGGCCCTGATTCTACAAGGGTTGATTAATAGTTAACTAATGGTACTGTTCAGCCTGAGAAAAACTCACACATTAACCAGCTTGTTAGTTGTCTGTTGGAAGGTGCAGGTGAAGGAAAGTCAAGAGTCCAGAAAAGCCCTGTGGCCTCTGCATTGGCAGTCGACCAATGCATCACTTGGAGGTCCTGCAGAGAACATGGTTTTGACAGCCAGGATTAGTGGTGCTGAGTGTTTCCAGAGCACAGCAGCAGCAGACACAGCATGCCTGCTCTGTGCAGAGAATCAGATCACCCAGGCCTGCAGAGCCAGAAGCGGTTCTCCACCCTCGGAAGTTTACAGTCTAACACACTCTGGGAGGCAGACTCAGAAAAGGACTTGCCCTAACGTTCCTTGAAACTAGGCATAGTGGTACACTCCTTTAATCCCAGCACTCAGGAGGCAGAAGCAGGTGGATCTCTGTGAGTTCAAGGCCAGCCTGATCTACGTACTGAGTTCCAGGACAGCCAGGGCTTCTACAGTGGGATCCTGCCTCAAGAAAACAAAGTTTCTTAAAGCCAGGGGCGGTGGTGTGTGACTGTAATGCCAGCACTTGGGAGGCAGAGGCAGGAGGATCTGAAGCTCAAAGTAGCTACGTGGTGAGGTTATTGAACAGTCTGAGCTTTGGGAGACTCAAAAGAAGAAAATAGGAAATGTCTTTAAAACTGTCTTCTTCATCTGTGTGTTGTGATGGCACATAGCTATGAATGCAGCACTCAGGCAGGAGGATCACCATAAGTTCAAGCAGGTTTCAGGCTAGCTGGGGAGGGCTACATGATGAAACCCTGTCTGAAAAACCAAAGCAACCCCCCAAAAAGTACTATTTTGAGCCCAGTGGTGGTGAACACCTTCAATGCCGGCTCTTAGGCCGTAGTGGCAGGTGGATCTATGTGAGTTCGAGGACAGCCAAAGCTACCAAAAAAAAAAAAAAAAAAACCAAAAACATTTTAAGGAGGAGATCCCTGTGATCTAGTGGAGACAGACAGGACAGAGGTGTGGAGGGTTGGGCGTTGGTTTGGGTGTAATCTCATATGGAACAACAATGGAAGAAAAGGTGATTATGTACATCTCTACAATGCAGTATGCGGTAGCTACTAAGAGTTAATGAAAAACATGCATAGAGAAGTTCACTGTAAGCCCTGTGCAAAATGCATCTCCAGCTATACAACAAGCAGTAGCTAGCCTTTCTCCTGCTGGGCTCCTTTTCCTAAGGGTTCCTAACAGTCTGTCTGTTGGAATTCATCAAACAGTGTATAATCATCCATTGGGTCTATCAGTGTTTTTTGTTTGTTTGTTAGAATGTTGTTTCCAAACACTCATGTAAAGTTTTGGATATATTTTCATTCTCATTTACATAGCTGCCAGAGGGACAGGATAATATTGGGCAGTATGTTAAGTATATGTTGAAATTTTAAGAAACGGCCCAGGGCTGGAGAGATGGTCCAGAGGTTAAGAGCACTGCCTGCTCTTTCAAAGGTCCCGAGTTCAAGTCCCAGCACATGGTGGTTTACAGCTGTCTGTAATGAGATCCAGTGCCCTCTTCCAGCATGCAAGCAGAAGACTGTATACATAATAAATAAATATTTTTTTAAAAAGAAAGAAAGAAATGACCTAGTTGTTTTCCAGAGTGTATCCCGCTAACCATGTATGAAGGCCCCAGGCACTCTACTTTTTCCAGGCTTACTCTTATTATCACGGGTGTGATGTGTTTCTGCCACTACTGTGATGTACTGGCATCTTCGTTTAGATTTGCATATCTATAATGCAGCCTCTTTCCTGTACTCCTTAGTTGTTTGTCCATCTTATGGGATATCTACCAAAATCAATTGCCTATATTTAATCAGGCTGTATAGCTTAATATTATTTATTTACGAGTTCTTCATATACTCTGGGTGCAAGTCAGATATATGTTAGATATATGTTGTAATATCCTCTCCCACCCTTTGATGGTTTGACATTCTTAAATATGTCTGTCAATAAACAAAATTTTGATTTAGTCAAATTTACCAGCTTTTTTACCTTGGCAACTTGTACTCTTGTATCTTATTAAATTACTGTTTTAGTATTGACTTTTAAATATACATTGGCTTTTGTTCATTTCAGCCAAGCTGTGCTAGTGGACAGGACCATTTACGTTTCTGGACAGGTTGGCTTGGACCCCTCCAGTGGACAGCTTGTGCCAGGAGGAATAGTAGAAGAAGCTAAACAGGTAAAGTCATCTCCACATTAGAGGCCCTTTTCTACCATTTTGTATTCTGGGCAGTATTGATAGTCTATGACCCTGATTAGTTTGGTAGACATCAACAGCTAAATGTGTTTTCAGCTGCCCACTGCTTGATTTAAGATTTTTAAAAGCCTAATTTTAGATTTTTGTTTATTTATTTATGTCTTAGTTAGGGCTTTATTGCTGTGAAGAAACACCATGACCATGACAACTCTTGTCAAGGAAAACATTTAATTGGGACTGGCTTACAGTTTCAGGGGTTCAGTCTATCATCATCATGGCCAGAAGCATGGTAGCATGCAGGCAGACATGGTGCTGGAAAAGGAGCTATAATGATCTACATCCTGATCCACGGCAATAGAAAGTGAACTGTGTCCCACACTGGGCATAGCTTGAGCATATGAGACCTCAAAGCCCACCTCCCACAGTGACACACTTCCTACAAGACCATACCTACCTCAAGGCCACACCTAATAGTGCCACTCCCCATAAGTCAAGCGTTCAAGTACATGAGTCTATGGGGCCACACCTATTCAAACCACCACACTGGGATATTGCTGGGATGGGTACAAGTCCCTGCTACCAACTTCTATGTTAGTTGGGCTCTTTTGCTTGCGCTTCTGAGACCTCAAAGACTGCCCCCAGTGACACACTTCCTCCAACAACTCCATACCTACTCCGACAAGGACACATCTCCCATAGAACCAGTCCCTGAGTCTGTGGGGCCATTTTCATTCAAACTACCACAACATATATGAATAGTTTGCCTGCATACATATATGTGTGCCTGTTGGATTCCCTGGAACTGGGTTACGGGTTGTCACAAACCACTCTGCAGCAGTGGGAATCCAGCCCTAGTCCTTTGCACAGTTCTCTTAACCATGGAGCCATCACCCTAGCCCCTTTCAGATGGTTTGAACAACAGAGAAGGATAGGAGTCGCCTCCATTTCACCTCTGTGCTCATGTGTCCTGATGGGTGGGAAAGTTTGTTTGCAAGGCTGTTGACCTCCCTCCTCTCCCCAGAGTATGTTACCACCACAGAAAAAGGTCAACATGAAACATGCTTAAAAAAAAAAGAAAGAAAGAAGCAAAGAAAGGTGGAGGCTTGGGATATAGGCCTAGCATACACAAAGTCCTGAATTCAATCACACACACACACACACACACACACACACACACACACACACACGAAGACTTCTATTGTATCCATTAATAGACTTAAATTGTAACTTAATGCATTTAGCGAGTCATTTGTAAGACCCAAGACAGAACACAATCTAGAATTTACAGGATGAAATGTTCCATATGCTACCATGTGTATATGTCTGTGTGTTTAGGAAAATGTATGCTTAAGGTCTGGGTGTGTTGGTACATGCCTTAATCCCAGCAGAGGTAGACAGATCTGAGTTCTAGGCCATCCAGGACTACACAGTAAGACCCTGTCTCAAGAAACAAAGAAGGTATGTGGGTGTATTTATGGATGGGGCTGTGGCTCAGTTGGTCAAATGCTTGCCCAGTACGCCTGGACTCGTCCCCAGTGCCACGTAAAACCAAGCATGGTGGTGTGCACCTCTTCTGCATTTGGGAAGTAAAAGCAAGAGGATCAGAAATGCAAGACCATCCTCAGCTGCATAGTGTGTCTGAGGCCAGCCTATATCCTGTCCATAAAAGAACAAGCATGGCTATCGTAGGGTAAGCACCACTGTTTCTGGAAGGATATATGAGAAATCTGGTTTTTATTTTATGTGTGTTTCGTCTGCATGTCTGTCTGGTGTGTGCCTGGTGCTTACATAAACCAAAAGGGGGCATCAGATCCACCAGAACTGGAGTTACATATAGTTGAAAAATGTCTTGTGGTTCTGGGAATTGAACCTTGGTCTTCTGAAAGAGCAACCAGTGCTCTTAACCATTGAGCCATCTCTCTAGCCCTATATACCATGGCTATTTCTGGGGAGTAAGAGAGAAGGGTCAAGGGAGACCTTTTCCCTATATGTGTTTTATTAGTAGATTTTTAATTGTTTGCTTTACCCATATATTAAGAGGCTGGAGAGATGGCTCAGGTTTGAAGAGCAGCCTACTTCTCTTGCAGAGGACCCAAGTTTGGTTTGTAGCACCCACATCCAGCCCCTTAGATTCAGTCCACTAAAGGAAACCAATACATAGGTGACTGTGTGGGAACATCAATTAAAGTGATTCTGTAACATCAGCATCCCTGACCTCTCTTGGCTTGATTCACAGGCTCTTACAAACTTGGGTGAAATTCTGAAAGCTGCAGGCTGTGACTTCACTAATGGTGAGCAACCGGATCTCTCTTCAGTGTTCGTGGCTGGGTTTTGTTGTTGTTTGTGTTATCTGCAGTGCTCAAGACCCAACTCAGGGCCTCATGCATCTGAGGCAAGCATTCCAACATCTAGTCCTACCCCCAGCACTGTTAGTGTATTTGGTATTTCCTCGGTCTTTGGGAAGGATGTAGGATACCCAACAGCATGTCATTCCATGTCTTTGTGGCTAAAGGTTGTGGTTTTAAAGGTCTAGGAAATGATACCGTCTCATTCCACTTCTTGAGTCTCATTTGAGCCCCATTTTCATCAAGATAGTCATAAAATCACACACTGACTTTTGAAGTCTTGTTTTGGGTCTGATGAATGGAAATTTGAATATTCTAGTGGTAAAGACAACTGTTCTGCTGGCTGACATAAATGACTTTGGCACAGTCAATGAAATCTACAAAATGTGTGAGTAATTTGTCTTTATTCCTACTAACTTTTTTTTCTTATTTTACATATCCTACTAACTATTAAAGGGAAATAAAACTGCTAATGTCAATTAGTATCATTGTCAAGTAAAAGTGACAGAGATGTTAAAATGCCATTTTGTTCCTGACACAGTCCGTCTTCTGCTTGGAAACATACAGTATGCCCTCATGGAAAAAGTCTAATATATTTCTATTGCAGTTCCTAAAAGATGCGTAAACCTTACAAGTTCATATTCCTAAGGTCTGATTTTATTATTTGTTTCTTTGGCTTTTTAAGCCCTCCCCTTATTTTTTTTTTTTTTTTCTAGACATATAGAGCTATTGCTATTGCTTTAGATATGGACTGGCTACTTTATTCTGTCTCTCTGAGTCACTAGGTGGCTACTTAACATTTCCATACTTTGGTTTCTTAGTATGTAAAGAGAGGACAGTATTCTGCTGCCTTAGGAGGCTGTTGGAAGAGGTAAATGAAGGACAGATGCTGGCACAGAGCAAATGCTACTGTCGCTGTCATTGTCATAGAGGGGAAAGGGGCCTCTGTCTCCTGGTAGGATGAAATAAAGGTGTGGTGAGAAAAAAAAAATATCATTATTACTGACTGCAGAAGAAATGACCAGAGAAGGCCAAAGTTATGGAAAAGTCCTTGCTGAAGATAAGAAACCATTCCCGATTTTGATAATTGCTCCATCAGCATCATTTAAAATCCCAAACCCATTCTCATCATTACAAGACAAAAATGCCAGATTGTGTCTTTCGTTGTTTTATGGAATACTTAGGAAAGCACTAAATGTCATAAAGTCATATGGCAGGATGTCTTGGGAACTGGCCACGCCATGAGGCAGTCCCCAGGCTCTTGCTTCTCTTCCTGAAACTAACCTGACGTTGTTCCACACTCAGATTTCAAGAGTAACCTTCCTGCCAGGGCCGCCTATCAGGTCGCCGCCCTGCCCAGAGTAAGTATGCAGTGATGTGGCCAAGTGTGCACGGGCACACAAAACCAGTCATTCTGAAAGGACAGACACTTAAAAACAGTGCAGTTCCCGTTTCTCAGAAATACAAAGTCTAAAGGTAAAACCCGAATAAGTGCTATCTATGTACCTAGAAAAAAGCTGAGAAGTCTTACAAAGCACCGTATGGGCATGACACGATCCAAAGATCTGAATTATGAGAAAACCCTAATATGAGGAAAGAGCAGTTGTGTTGTTGTGTTACTTAGGGAATGAAATTTGTGCTAAGCCTTCACCTGGAGGAGTGGAGGATTGCTGGGCCCCCTCCTGTGTGTTATCCTGTAGTCTGACTTCATGCCTGCGTGCCCGCCTTTAAGTAAGGACGTCTATAAATGCAGCACAAGGTAGAATTCTGTGGACACCTCTGGACAGCCTTTGCTCTCGCTGAAGGAAGCTCTGCATACCAACAAGACGTGAAATTCATACCCTTGCTAGTTTCTACTTATTCTGGAGTATTGGCTAGAGAATTTTGGTATTATTGCTATTATTAGCCCTAATGAAGAAAGATTCCCTTGACTTTCATATGATAGTCTAGACTTCTCACTGGAATGATGCTTGCTAAACCAGTGCCACACAGTGCCCCTCCACTAGGGCCTCTTTCCCTGTGCCCCCTGCCCACACCATACACCTGCAGCTCACTTCCTGTAAGTTGCCAGTAAAGACACTGTGTCACCTAGCAGCAAGGTTGTTGTTTTAATTAAGTTGTTACTGGGAAGGGCCATTGGGTACAGTTGAGAGAACTTTAAACTTAGAAGCAAACGACATGTGTTTGGTCACCCGCTGTTTATCTTTATGCTTCAGGACAACTTTTCCAGTCCTTCTGAGGTCAGTGCCATGTTTTATGACCAGGGCTGCTGTGGGTCTGCATATGGATGTGCCTAGTATGGCCTGTCTCAGGGTCTTAGTGAATTCTCTCTATCCTTTGCTTTCTGCAGAGAGATTAATGGTAAAAGCGCTATGTTGCTGTTAAGAACATATGTTTTTAAGAAGGTATTATTGAACTTTTTAGTTTGTATTAAATGATAAACAATGGAGACAGCAACTTTTTTGTTTTCCTTGCAGGGAAGTCGGATTGAAATCGAAGCAATTGCCGTCCAGGGGCCTTTCACCGCCTCAGGACTATAAGAGGCCTCACTGATGTCGACTCTGGGTTCTTTCTCTGGAATGTCTTTCACACCTTAATTCTTACAGATGATGCTGGGAAGTGTGACCAAGTGGCTGAGCTTATCGTGGGATGACCTTACATAGGCAGGCTTGACATGAACGGGAAGTGACTCAGTACGCTGGCTGATGCTCTGACTCGACTTACCTACACTCAACGTCTCCGAGTGAGGGAAGATGCAGCACAGCCACTCAAGTGAGCAGCAGGAGAGGGGAAAGATGAGCTCTTGTTCATGACAAATAGTAAAGGGCGCACCTCATTAGTCAAATTATACCAATCTGTTCATGTGAAATATCTAGTTCTCGTGGTAGATATAGGGAACCAAATCAAAGTATTTCAGCTTGAATAGTGCAGGAGGATAAAGTGAACCAAAATCTTAAACAGATAATATTTTTTTCTAATGGAAATAAAAATTGATGTGTAACTTTCCCTTGATGTGGTGGTGGTCTCTGATTTTTTTTTTGACACATCAGTTATACATTAAAAATATCAACGCTGGGCGGTGGTGGTACACACCTTTAGTCCCAGACATGGCCATGAAGGGACTACAGCAATAGACCATTAACTAAAACAGTGTTTTTATGGACTTTTCAAAGAGTTTTGATGTAGTCATGTCTAATCTGTATTTAACTTACCTTGTCCCTCAAGATTTATGTACGCTTTCTTGTGTACTGGGGATTGAGTCAGTCATCAGCAGAATAATTTTCAGTAGATTATGCTGTGTGTAAATATGCCTGAAATAAACAACTTGGGGGTCAGACTTCCTAAATTTGAACCAGCAGTGGCTACTGAGTTATGTTGAGCCAATCTGTCTTCCTTCCTCCCATGGCTCACCTCACTGCTCCCCATGAAGGTCACCTGTGAGACGGCCTTCCAACCCCCTGCTCACGTTTACGTCACAGTTTTCAAACCAAACTCTAGAGGAATGATCTGGCAATAAAATAAGATGTGGCACCCATGCTGACTGAGTTGTTTGTGGCCAGGTCTGGACTTCTCAGACCAAAGGAGACATTGTATTAAATGTAGAGAAGAATGGCAGTGTTGGCCTTCCAGAAGTAAACCAGGCACATGCCTAGAATGAGCACTCAGGAGTGGAGACAGGAGGATTAGAAATTCAAAGTCATTATTGGCTTCATAGTGAGTTCCAGGACACCACCCTGGGGTACATGAGACTCTGTCTCAAAATAAACATGAACACACTACAAGATACCTAAAAACAAGTCACCCATATTTCTTTCCTGTTATTATATTTTTTTATTTTTTGTTGTTATTTTTGAAACAGGGTCTTGCTGTGTAACCTTGGCTGGCCTAGACCTCACTCTGTAGACCAGGCTGGCCTCGAACTCACAGAGATCCACCTGCCTCTGCCTCCCAAGTGCTGGGACTAAAGGTGGGCGCCACCCCCAACCTATTGTCATATCTGTTATCTTGATATTGTATCAACACACAACACTTAACAAAGAACAAATTAGCTGCTACATTGTTATTCACACACAATCATCACCCAAGTCCCTTGCTTGCTTCGGAAGGACTCTGAGAAAATTACTTTCTGTGATACCTAAATGCATTTAAAGCCTTGACTTCTTAGCCCTTTTTCTTATCCAAAACCTAATGCTAATTTAAAGTCATCTAAAGGGAAGCAAGACTCTGGGAGATTCCACATAAGCAATAAAGCTAGGGTGTTCTTGTTGGGATTTTTTGCTGTTTGTTTACCTTTTTCCCCATGTATGTGGTGTTCGTGCATACATGCTCACATATGTATGGAGGAATGCATGTGCGTGTGTGTATAGAGGGACAAGGTTGATCTCAGAAGTGTCCTTCAGTCACTACATCACCTTGTTCTTTAAGGCAGCATCGCTCAAACCCAAAGCCTGCCAGTAAGATTATCTCCCCAGGCAGCCCGCTCTGAGGATCCAGAGCTGCCCTCTGGACTGGATTTACAGGCAGCTTCCATGCCCACCCAGAGTTGTTTCTGAGACTCCAACTCCCATTCTTTTGCTTGGCAGCAAAGACTTCAACCTGCTAAGCTGCCTCCATTGCCCACAAGCTAGGACTTAAACCTTGCTGTGTTTGTTTTATTTGTTATTGCCTCAGAAATGCATTAAAGGTCAACCAGTTTAAAATTATTTTACCGTTAGTAAGTATAACAACAATTAAAAAAAAAAAAAAACCAATCACCAAACTGACACACCTCAAGTAAGTATAAAATCAGCAGCTGATTCAAAATGGCACGCGGGAAACGTGGGCCCTTTCACTGTGACAAATGCCAAACCTTGCAATAGCACCCCAGCAGCAGCTCTAATTTCTATCACAAGACAGAAGTATTAGGTGTAGTATGTCCTGTGTTCTGGGGGTATTCATTCTCATTCTATCACTATTACAACTACTTACCTCTATTGTCATGAGTTCCTTACATTTTGATAATTCCTCTCTTTACCCCCACCCCCAAATACAGCTAGAAGTTTTTACTTTTTTTTTTTTTTTTTTTTTTTTTTTGAAACCACCTTTGCTTTCTTAAACGATCTTAGAGTTTTTAAATGGTCCTGGCTCTTATAGCTTTGAATGCATAATTGTCCTAAGTAACAAAAAAAAAAAAAAAAAAAAAAAACTGTCTAGTTTAGCAATTTCATGGCAATAACCCAATCAAAACCAGTATTTATCCTCTTGGTCCCTGCAGTCAGTTTACAGCCACGCTCCTTGTGTATGAAGCACGCAGCGCAGCCACAGCCTCAGATTGTCCTTTGCTATAGTGTGCTGTGTGCACTAGCCGGTCTGCCACCGCCTTCTGCCGCTCCGACATCCACAGCTTCTCCTGTTTCTTTTTCTGTGGCTTCACTTTCTTCCTCGCTTTTCATTCCCGCGTCCATCTTTTCTCCAGTCTCGCCTAGAAAAAGCAGTGAAGGGTAGAAGACGCTTGCTTAGCAGTAATTCCTGGCTGTGTCATCTTCACACAAGCTACAGTCATCTGAGAGGAGGGACCCTCAACTGAGGAAGTGCCTCCATTAGGTCAGGCTGTGGGCAGGCCTGGGAGGTGTTTGCTTAATTGGTGATTGATGGCAGAGGGCCCAGCCCATTGTGGGTGATGCTCCCTGTGGGTTGGTAGTCCCGGGTTTCACAAGAAAGCAGGTTGAGCAAGCCATGGGGAGCAAGCCAGTAAGCAGCACCCATCTATGGCCTCCATTTCAATTCCTGCCTCCTGGTTCCTGTCCTGTTTGAGTTCCTGTCCTGACTCCTTTTAGGAATCGGCTATTGTATGCAAGTGTAAGCCAAATCAACCCTTTCCTCCCCAACTTGCTTTGGGTCATGGTGTTTCATCACAACAATAGGAACCCTGACTAAGGAAGATTCCTCAGTGGGTAAGAGTACAAAAGTGTGAAGACATGAGTTCAAATCCCCATCGTCTAGGTAAGAAGCTGGAACAACAGAGCACATCTGTGAAGACAGGAAGATCCCTAGAGCTCAGGAACAAGACAGAGCCATCATTCAGTTAATTAAAACCAAATCTTAATAAACTACAGATAGAGAGATTCTGCCTCAAACAGAAGTTGGAGAGAGAGAGAGCAGTTGGGGAAGACACCCGATGCTGACCTCTGACCTGCACACCTGCACACACCCACATGGACATCCAGGCAGAGAGACGAATAATAAAACAAATGTTTAAAATTTTGACATAGCCTGTGCTTTATAAATGATTTGCTGGGAGCTGAAGTGAGCCTTGGAGGAAATGTGTTTGGGTCAAAGTGAACTTCAGCCACCCGAGAGAGACTTCAGCATCTGTAGCCCCAGAGCTGGCCTCCATCCCCTTGGAGCCTGTCAGGCTCTCAGCTAGCCTCCTTTTACCTTCAACGTGTTGCTCCTCTTTACCGGTGTTAATTTCTCCGGCCATTTTCGCATTTGCTGCTGTCTCTACTGCAGTTCCTGCCTGCTTCTCCCTGCTTCCAACTGTTGCTTCGGGCTGAGATTCACCCGCGTTTCTGGTCCCATCGGGAGTTTCACAGAGTGACTCGTTCATTACAGGAGTTTGCACGAGCTGGCTTCTGTCTGGCGTGTGCGGTGTCTCATTCTCTTTGAGAACTATTTCGAGAAGTTGGGGCTGCTCATTTTTGCACGCTGTTTGCTGGGGTTGCTGCTGCTCGTCACCGCCTTCTGCGGGCTGGCACCCTTCCTCTACTTCGGGAGAGCTGTTCTCTCTGGGAATTGCTTCAAAAAGCCGGAACTGTTGGTCCTTCAAGGTCTCTTGAAGTTCCTTTTGTTCAACTTCTTCCACAAACTGGTATCCTTCCAATGTTTCGGGAGAATTGTTCTCTTTGGGACTTGCTTCTACAATCTGGGGCTCTGTATCCGGTCCCATGGCTTCTTCAGGTGGTAGCAGCTCCTTAGCTGTTTCCAGAGGCACAGCATCCTCAGTTGTTTCCAGAACCTTCATCCCTCCAGCAGTTTGTGGAATCTCAGTGTGCTCCCCTGCTCCAGGGGAGTCCCCCTCTCGTGGTGTCCTCAGAGGCTGGTTCCTGGCTTCTGTTCCTAGAGGTTCAGTCTCCGTGTTTCCTTTCAACGTCTGGGCCTCTGCGCTTGTTTCCACATCCTTCTTCATCTCCTCAGGTCCCAGGGTAGCATCTTTGCATCCTGGCTGAGGTGCCTCACATTCTTCCTTTCGCACTACAGGCTCAGTCTCTTTTGTGGTTCCTGACTGGTCTGTGGCATCCTTTCCAGGGGCCTCATCATTTGCCAGACACGGTTGGTGGCAAGATTTAACACCGTTGGCCGTCGGCACCACTGAAGCCTTGGGCTTCTCCGATGGAGCATGGCCAGCCCTTTGCGCATTGCTATAAAAAGCAGTTTCTCTTCCTGGTGTACATGGTGTGGGTTGGGCCACACAGAACTTGCTTTGTTCTCCAGTGGAAGAATTCTCATTGGAAGGTACTTTTTGAGCATTTAGTTGAAAAATGAGTAGAAAAGAGAGAACAGGGTTATGATTTAGCTGTCTTGAGAAAGTTTATTGCCATCTAGTAGTTTTAACTGTTCAACCACAATCCTCACTCCAAGTCAAAGCCTTTTAATATCGTCAACCCAAACACCTCACTGTAAACATTAGGGTCCTCTAACCCAGATTTCTCCTGAGCATCCCATCAAGGTTTCTGTCCCATATTCTAATGTATCACAGCTCACTCACTCTCCTCTATAGCTTTTTAACTTTTCCCTGACTCAGAGTGGCCATCTATGAACAGGAAAGGCTACACAGTAGAGAAGCCCTTACAGGTAAAGGTCGGTACCCTGGGAAGAGTGTACAGGGACAGTTCAACCTGAGTTTTCTGTCATGTTAGGGGAAGGGGGAGTGACATTCAGAATGTTGGGGAGCACATGGTTCACTTAGGGCTGCTCCAGCTCCTCCTGCTTCTACTATGTGACCCAGGACTTCTCTATGTTATTCAAAGCCTTTAGAATACGATGCAGAGCGTCATCCAAACACTCTTTATAAGAGCAGAAACTGGAAAACAATTTAAACATCTAAAAATACATTCCACTGAGTGAGATGCTGCCCCTCGAAAAGATAAGACTGTGAAGGCCATGTGCCGACCAGAGACAGAACCTGTAAGGGCAAACGAAAGAGCATATTCATGTTGGCTTGATCAAACAAGGGGACACAAATGGCTGACGCCAGAACGAGGTCTGCTGTGATAGAATTACAAACAATGTTTGAGGCTGAGACCTGGGCCTGGGACAGGAGAGGAGAATTTCAAGAGGCATGAGGAGACATTTGGAGAAATAGAAATAGTCATGATCTGGATTGCTAACTCCCATGGATACATTTGTCAGTGCACACAGCAAAACTTGCTGAAATGTCACAGTAGACATGGGCAGGATATATCATCAACTTATCAAGACATTCCCCTAGTCTGCTAATTCCAACATAATAAAATAATGTGAAAAAATGTAAACAGAGATGGATTTTGAAAAACCTTGTTCTTAGGGCTAGGGGCTTAGTTCAGTGAACTAGGACCTCAGATAGGAGAGATAAAAGATGGAATGCCCTAACCATAAAAGGGAGAGTCTTGGGTACCACTGGTTAGTTATGTGGATCCTGGAGATGGAAAATGTGGCTAAGGGTTTGGGGTGAGAGAGCCCTGCATGGTTTTGTCTGAGGCTTGTGGCATAGGCAGGTATAGGTTGTGCATAGAAATGCAAACTCTGGAAGGTGGCTAGTCCTTTACTAGAAATGCATGTTGCCTGTCTGGAACAGGGCTGTTTTGGCATAAAGGCAAAAAGAGGAGAGGTATAGGGGTGTGGGGATGTGTGAGAGAGGGGACAGAGACAGAAACGGAGATAGATCATCTGTCTCTCCTTCTTGTTCTGTGTATTGAGTGTGACTCTTACAGGAAGGTCCAGAGATGAAAAAGGAAAACTCAGCACCAATTTTCTGAGTGGGCAGGTACAGGCTGTCAGTATTAAGGGTTCGTATGACCAAACAGAGTGGTCTCTCTTCATCATATCACCAGCACGAAAGACAGTATAATGAAAGTGCTTTCCCGGGACCAGAGGGAAATCCTTCACAATAAAGAAGCTCCCTCTGCTCCCACACAGGCTGCGTAGCAACTGTCTTCAGAGTCAACATGGAAGGGCATTACTGTATTAATCACAGATTTTTGCCCAGTGGCATTTCCTGTTGAAATAGTTACTATAGTTATCAGTACTGTCAATGAAATGAAGCAAGTCATATTCACCCACCTGTACCTGCTGGGTACATTCCCAAGGTGTCACCCTTCCAAAGCAAAAAGCTGGGAGGGTAGGTGTTGACACACCCAAAACACAGGTGCAGGTTTGTATATAGAATGTTGTTTTTGGGTTTTTTTTTTTTTTTTTTGAGATAGAGTTTCTTTGTATTTCCCTGGTTGTCCTGGAACTAGCTCTGTAGATCAGGCTAGCCTTGAACTCCAGAGATCCACCACCTGGCTTATATAGAATTTTTTTAACGGGAAATACATTTCATAAGAAGTTATACGTGTAACACTAGACTCAGTTTGCTAACTAGGATTAACAGTATCAGAGTGCCTGATACTCCACAGTAAAAGGTGCAGGGCTAAGTAATCTAGACATATCTGAAATAAATCAGCATACATCTCCCAAGAACCTAATGAGCTTACAATATAAGTGTTTTTGTTTAATTGGTTAAATTTATTTGACACTTAGCAATAGAAAGAATGAACTGCATCACAGGGGGGCTTTGGTACACAGGCCCTAAACACTGTGAGTTGTCAATACTGACCTACAAAAGTGTATCATTCTCACAGTGGGCTTTAAAGCATGGTCAGTGGTGGATAATGGAACCACGGTCACAATGGCAGCAACAATTCCATCAGACTTGACTGACTTCAAGAAGTGCCACTGGTAACATATAAAGTTTCTGTGCTGCAGAGATGGCTCCAAGGTTGAGAGCAGTTCGATTCCCAGCACCCACATCAGGTGTCTCACAAACCACCTGTCACCCCAGCTCCAGCAGATCACACACGCTAACCCCTACAGGCACCTACAGCCATGCACGCACAGTCACACATCCATGCACATAACTGAAAATAATAAAAATGATCTTATTAAAAATAAAAAAAAGTTTCACTCCACTTCTGGCTTCAGTTTCATTTTCCGCCAAGTATTCATCAATGTCCGTCATTGGCAGGCTCTGGACAGGGCACAGGGATTGTAGCAGGCCACAAGGAAGAGCCTTTTCCTTGCTACCTTAGGGCTTATTGCCTGTAGGAAAATTGAAACAATACCTCCTTCTTCATCATCAACTACGACTTAGTACTTCTACAGTTCCTGGCACCCAAGCATCCCCATACTCGTGAACCCCCTCCTCAGAGTAGATAAAGGTAGAACATGTTCTCTGGCACCCAAACTTGCAGGCAGTGGGATACTTTTGTTTGGTCCACACGCAGGAGCCAGTCCTGCCTGGTCTGCATCGTTGTGTAATAATGAGGGCACATGGCATTGGTTCCGCCCAAAACTGTTTAAGGATGTTTTCTGAGCCGTCTGTTTCATCAAATCTTACCCCGCTCTGGGCTTAATCCTATGACACTAATTATCTCTGACTCTGTTATAAACTGATGAATTTGTTGCGACAGCTGAGCCAGCAGAAGCCTTGCTGTGACCTCCGTTGTGATAGGCACACAAAGAAACTAAATACCAGGCCACATTACCGGAAGGACTGGAGCCAGAGCTAACATACCTGGAATCCACACTATGTTGGAAGCTTTGCAAGCAAGCTCACTGCCCTGGACGGAAATGAAAAGTTTCTACCCAGCAAGGAGAAGCGCTCAGGCCGGTATTTCCTAAGCCATGCCACTCAGGCTCCCGAGGGTCTCGGCCGGTTTTCCTGGTTTTCTACAGTATCCCCAGGAAGTGCTCCTGGCATGGCCTGTGCTGCTACTGTGGAGACTCTAGGTTCTTAGAGCTTTTACTTTAATTCTTGTACTGAGAAGTCCTCCTTCTAGATCACAGCGCTCTCCCATCTCCCATGAACACAGCCACTAAAATCCACTATTAGACTTTGGAAAACAGTGATGCAACAGCATGAGGCTGCCCAACAGAGGGCTCAGCATACTCCTCTCCTCTCCTTGCTTTCTTCCCAGTCCTAGTCTGCATCCAAGAGCACCAGGGAGTTACTCTGCACGGTTTTACCCACCACCCATCACACTGTGGGAATGCACTGCCCTGCTACCATGACTCCAATTCCAACCCCAAAGTGTGATTCTGTCTACCTACCAGTTATATTATAATGGGGTCCTCATTTAGAGCAGAGTGAACTTGAGCAATATTTCATGTAACTGAACTACAAATTAACTGAAAAAGGCCTATAGAGGTTAAATTTAAAAATCAATGTTTTCTAACTACCCGAATTTCTGTTAAAACTCCATTTAACCATCATAAAGTAAATGAAACAATTTGGTTTGTTTGTTTTTCAAGACAAGGTTTCTCTGTGTAACAGTTCTTGACTGACCTGGAACTAGCTTTGTAGACCAGGCTGGCCTCAAACTCACAGAGAGCCACCTGCCTCTGCCTCCCAAGTGCTGGGATTAAAGATGTGCGCTACCACTGCCCAGCTAATGCAATACAATTTAAAGGCAAACTTAATGTAGAGATTTAAGTACAAGCTTTCTCTTCTTGCTGTACTGAGAAAGCAGCCACAGAAAATGCATAGTGATCGTCTAAGTCTGTGTTCCACTGAAACTTTACTTAGAAAACCAGTAGTGGGCTGAGTTTAGCTGCAGTCAAGTTTGCCATCCTTGTGGGCGGTAGTTAAGCTCTATCTAAACGCACTGTGTGTGTTAGCTTGTTGATTCCTCAGAACGACTCTATGAAACAGACATCACTGTTAACGCAGCTTTACAGATGAGGCAATGAAATAGGAGTGACTGGTTCCAAGTAACACAATTAGTAAGCAATCTTGAACCAGGATTTGAACCCAGACAGTCAGTCCATCTATAGACCCACATTCTTCTTTTCATTTTTGAAACAGGGACTATTATTCTTTTGCTGTATCTTCCTAATGTTGGGATTACAACTATGTGCCGCCACACCTGGTAGGACCTACATTTTGTTTTGTTTTGTTTTGTTTTGAGACAGGGTCTTTCTATGCAGCCCCGGCTGGCCTGAAACTCAGGCTGGCCTTGAGTGCAGAGATCCACCTGCCTCTACCTCCCGAGTGCTGGGATTAAAGGCTTGCACCACTATGTAGGCTCAAGTTACCCAATTCTTTTTTTTTTAAGATTCATTCCTTAAATTTCATAAATATTTATTTTTATTATTTTTGATTGTGTGTGTGCGTGCACGCATGATTGCAATGCCTTTGGAGATCACAAGAAGCCGCTGGACCCTTGGAACTGGAGTCACAGTTGTGAGCCACCATATGGATACTTGGAATTGAATTT